GTTTTCAAAGCAATCAGAATATTTCAGTTTGCCAAATCCCATGGAAAGCGCTTAACCAGTATCGTCAAACCAATGTCTATTTTATAAAGATAAAAGTTCTGCAGGGTATAAAATAAGTTCCTTAAGGTCTAGACCACTTTCCGAGTTGGATGATTTACAAAATTTCCAAATATTGTTTTCAAATCATTTTTGACATTCCAAATTGTTTGCCCAGAAAAAGGCCTTAACCTGTGATGTCATTGTTATACTAATGCTATTTTTAAGCATCTAAAAGTTTCAGATAGCATAAAATAAATTGCTAAAGTTTTTGTTTTCTATTCGAAGATGGACGGTTTGTAAGGATATGAAAAAATATGGTTTCCAAGGCAATTGAAATGTCTCAAAATTTCCAAATGCAAAATGAGCTTAACCTATGATATTATCGTTATATTAATTAAGCGTCTAAAAGTCCCAGAGATTTTAAAACAAGAACTTTACGTTCTTGACTTCCATTCCAAAACAGACAATTTATAAGTGAATGCAAAAATATGGTTCCCAAAGCAATTTAGGCATTTCAAATTCTCCACCAAAACAAAGGGCTAAACCTGCGATGTAATTGTTATACCAAGGCTACTTTTAAGCATATAGTCATTTGCGAGATGCTTTCTACCTTACCTGTTTATACAAAGAGCTTTAACTTTGAAATGCCAAAAAGGTCCAGAAAGTAAACAATACTTTTCTTAGGTTTTTACCTCAGGATAATTTACAAGATGCCAATATTCAATTCCCAACACTTTCCTGTCATTCTTAATTGTCTACCCCTAAAAAAATCTAAAACAGTGACGTGCAGTCAATGGTTGTTTTATAACAGTAATAATTCTAGAATATATAAAATAAGTTCCTTATGTCCTTGACTTCCTTTCAGAGAAGGACAATTTTTAAGGAGTGGCCAAAATTTGGTTTGTAAAGCTTTTCGGTAATTTTAATAAAGCTTTTCACCGGCTTTTTATAATTTACTTGGGATTATGATTTTCGAGAAGTTCAAGTAAGAAGAAGCCAAAATGTTTTTTCCACCCAAACATAATTCCATTGGGAACAGAATAAATCCCTTCGGTTCGTGACATCCTCTCCCAGGACGAGACTGAATTGCATGACTAAAATGCTTTTTGACTTAATGAAACAAAGCCCACGTTCAAAGCAATCCGCAAACGTTTAATCTTTCCACAAGGCCGATTCCGCTGAGATGGACAGGAAATTAATTATGTTAATTTTCCATTACACTAAGGTTAAGCACTGTACGTTCTAACATTTTCAACTAGTTTTTCAGTTATTAATGTTTATTTATGTTTAAATCAAACTTTTTTTACGATTCGGTAAAATGTATTTGATACTTGTTCGTGCAGAAAATGTAACCTTTTATAGCTTCAATCAAAATTCTAGATCAGTTTTCGTTCTTTTATTGATTTATTCGCGTGCAGTAAACTTTATAGATAGGTATATACTAAAAACTGAGTCATTTTACGTCAAACGTTTAAAGTACCTTCTTGACAATATGACTAATCTTTGTACAAGTAAGAAACTCATTCAAATAAATTACAATTGATTTTGTGAGCGGAATTTTTTTATAAGCTGGTTTACTAGGATTGTTAAATAAGACAGCTAAAGTACAAAACAGTCCATGTGTGAAGCTGAAACCTTGGTAGTGCCAGCCGATGAGTCATAGGGGGGACCTTAACGTCCAATTGCCTCATCGAATTAATTTCGTTGTTACTCAGCAATACAATAACGTTTGTGCACCTTCCGTTATTTGTGTTGTACAAGCAGAGTTTAAAAAAATAAAATAAATTTGATTGAAAAAGTCCTTCAAGCAAAGGCGTCCTTGTTTGCCTTATTGTTCTATTGTGTCATTCGACGGATAAGGATTAAAAACCGTGGATTTTATTCTATGAAAAAATAATAAAAGATCAACTTCGGACTACACAACAAGGGCGTTAAGCTAACAAGGGCAATGACCTGGATAGATATACAGTTAATTAATATTTCGCTTCAATAACCATGCGGTATAATTAGTCCATGAAAACAGGTATAGCACAGAAAGAATTACAATACTTCATTTTCTAGTTTTTGAAAGTCAAGCTTTCTCAATTTTGATAATGATTTTGAATCGCTAGTTGTATTTTCACATTTAATGTTTATAATTTAAAAAAAAATTAGAAGAACTAAACGTCTGACAAAACAAATCCTTAAGTTGTTGTATTTTGAAATGTTCCATCTTCTGGGAGCAAGGTATAAAAGAGTAAGGGGGACCCCCTAGAAATGCTTATTCTCGTCTCGTCTCATTCCAGTCTGTACAGGATTGGTTAAATATAGAAAGGCACTGCTGGAGAAAGGAAAGGGAATCTTCATTATCAGCGTACAAAGACACTCTTTTTTTCAATGGTGAATCCCACAACTCAGCTTACAAAACCGACTTGTTTGCAACGCAGTCGGAAAAATTTATTACAACCTTTATTTAACGTTGATTAAAAAGTTAAAGAAAAATTTCTTTCTTGAGGTACAAATTTTAATAAAAACTAAAACCGCCTGAAAGGTACATGACCTCGCCCTACAACATCGACCAACTGAAAGATTTGCTTAACAGATAAAAAAAAGTCGTTGATGTACAATCGGTCAAAACAAGAAATTTAATACAGGAATTTGTTTTAGTTTTGCTGTTTCACAATAACAAAACATAAAATTCTAAAAACAACGCTGACTCAGTAAACATCTGTTAATCAATATTTTCCCTGTCGCTTAACATCCCCAAGGAAAACACCTCGTCATCAAGTTAATTAAATACTTTTTTTTAAATTTGATCCCCTTGATTATTTATGTACTATAATAAACATTTAAACAAAAATTCTAATAAAAGTTACTTATGTAATTTAAAAAAATTATAATTAGCAACAAAACACAACTAAATATTTGCATTTCTTAAGAGATGACTCGATATTCACTCATGGGTTTGATAGAAATACTCATTAGAGGAACAGTCAAAGGATAAGGTGGGAAAATACTAAACAATCGAAGCCCCTCACCGGACACAGGCAATCAGAGAATCTCCTAGCAAGATTTGAAAGTGAAGAAATTTTAAAATGCAGAAGAATGGAGCTAGTCCTCCTCAGAACTTTTTGGAGGCAACGCGATAGAAGAAATAGGCTGAAAGTTCCGAAATTTGGATATAATACCTCTCGAAGTGTTCAGTACAGTTTATAACCCTGAAAAAGGAATGAAATAATGAAGTCGGTTTTACAATTGAAGACCTGACTTTACATATTTTAAGAGGATTATAAATTTTCGAAGAAAGTGAACAAGTTTGTTTATATTTGTTGTACTGTGTCTAAAGTTGTCTCAGGGGAGTGTACTAAGGCCGCTTCTTCGTCTTATGTTTAAGCTACGTCTCAACTGGGAATCATTTCGAATATGCTACCTTAAAACGTTCTTTGACGAATTTTCGACATGTTAACGTTTTATTATTACAAATTTGAAATATCCACTTGAAGTCACTGGATTGATGAGCTTGTAGCTACCATATAAAATAACGCAAAGGACCACCGGTAAAGATTATAAAACGCTAATATATGCCTGACGGATCAAAACGAAGCTAATTCAGAATTACAGACCACCACTCAAGACTAAAAAATGAAATTTCATAATTAAATTGAATTATCAAACTTGGCTACCTCGAACGTGCTAAACTGTGAGTAGTTAATTCAATAAAATTAGATAGGAATTATAAAAGGAAATGGTTTATAAAATAACGCTCAGATCAACAAATGAAGATGACAAAATTCGTGTAATGTATCATACATTTATGACAGATCAAGACAAAAAGAAAAACCGAGGATAGGCTAAATCAAACAACAAATTTAATTCTCCTCTCTCTCTCTCCTCTCTGTTCTCTCTTTCTCTCTCTCTCCTCTCTGTTCTCTCTTTCTCTCACTCTCTCTCTCCTCTCTCTCTCTCTCTCTCTCTCTCTCTCTCTCTCTCTCTCTCTCTCTTTTTCTCTATTTATATCTCTCCTTAAATTAAGTTAAATTGACTAATTTAAATTATCACGTTAGACAAATATGTAATTTATTAATAATGTGTAATGGCCAAAACAGCGAGGACAGGATCACCAAAATACCCAGAAACGACCAAACTAATTTTTTTATCTTCTCTCTCTCTCTCTCTCTCTCTCTCTCTCTCTCTCTCTCTCTCTCTCTCTCTTTTTCTCTATTTATATCTCTCCTTAAATTAAGTTAAATTGACTAATTTAAATTATCACGTTAGACAAATATGTAATTTATTAATAATGTGTAATGGCCAAAACAGCGAGGACAGGATCACCAAAATACCCAGAAACGACCAAACTAATTTTTTTATCTTCTTTCTCTGTCTGTCTGTCTCTCTCTCTTTCTCTCTCACACACTCTCTCTCTCTCTCTCACACACACACACACACACACACACACACACACAGACTTACTCTCTCTTCTTCTATCTATCTCTCACTCTTTTCCAAATTGATGGATATATTGAGACGCATGTAAAGTTTAAAATAATGTAAATTGTAATGTAAAGTATAAAGTATGACGAAAACTGTGTGGACAGACAGACCAAAACGATTGTAAACAGCCAAACTTCATTACTGGTTGTGCCTTTTTGAGATTTTATAGGTTTATTTTTTTATCTTTTTTGGTACTGAGTTATAAGTAAAGGGGAGGATTTTTATTTGCATTCTTTGCGCGTTAGGAAATTGTTTGAAATTGGAAAAGAAATGACAGGTGGTTGCATCTGAGCATCTGTTGAAAGAAACATCTGTCGAACCAGAAGAAAGTAAATTTCTTTCAAATATAAAAGGCAAACTTGTAACGTATCGTATTTAAAGCCGTTAAAAGAGGCATCCCCATTTTTTCTCCGTTCGAGGGATACCGAATATCGAGTTTTCCCGTCGAGAAAATCGACCATAAACAATCGTCTTTTTTTTTTTGGACGAGCAGTCAGTTGTTTCGACCACCGGTCCTCATTAATGATTTCGGCGTAGGACCGGCCGGTAGTGTTTTTTTCTCCCCCGATGCTAAATATCTTATGATACGAAATTCACATTAAAAAATTTGTTTAAATCTCAAAGCCAATTCGTTTCGATCGTTTCGAAACCCCGTGTCGTCCGTCATTAATCCCGTCAGCGCTGAGCCAGTCGATTCGACCGAAAGGTGGTGCTACATAGGAAACTCGACCCCCTCCACAGGCACAGATATATAAATACTAGTGGGGGAAGGAAACGCGTTCATTCTTGGTGTGAGTCTCGATAAGCCAACATTGTAAGGCTTGACTAAACCGGAAAATTTCAAAGCTACTTTGCCTTTTCTTTCAAGTCGACCCAAAGTTCTAAAACCAACTATTCAATATGGTAAGTACAAACTTTATTTATAAATTGCCTACCTTAGAATATTCAATTAAACTTAGCAATAGTTAAAATAAGGGTTATTTGATTTTTACAGCAAGAGCTAAACGAAGTTTCTTTTTTAATTCAAAGCGTTAACAAGTCATTTAAAAAAAATCCAATTTCAATAATTTACGAAATTACTGAAATTGAGCCACGTGGCATTTCCTCCGTAATAAAATTGATCTCGTTTTGTCTCTTCTGGTTGAAACTCGACTGACATTCCTTTTCATTTTTCAGTGTTATTTTTTCCTTTTTCTCCTTTGATTTTCCATAACGATTTGTAATATTGTGCAATACTTAAATAATTTTAACGATTTTTCGAGTTGCCGGTCGCCGCTAACGCCCCGCGGCCATTTTTCCTATTCTTCGAAGCGTGATCTCATCCTCGTTCAATTCGACCTTCCGTCGATTTTATTTAGAGATTCGTTTCAAACCTGGACAGTTAAATTGGCCGGCATAGTTTTTATGCGGAGTTATTTTTCATTTTCTGGTTGAAATATTTGAGAGACGGTATCCCGATTTTTTTCTTTTACTTTGTTAACCGGCCTCCCCTCCATCAAAGTTTCCGTTGTAGATGTTGCCTCCGCTTCCAACTGTCCGTTAAGTTCCCGCCCAACGGTCGCCGTTGGAAAGCGCCGGAAACCAGATGGCGGGAGCTTAAGTTATAAGAAAACTGACAATTTTCATAAATGGAATAAACAATTTTTTAAACTTATCGCTCTTAAGGATAAAAATTAAACGCATTTATCTTTAAAAAAGCTCATTTTTTAAAAGTGTACTTAGTTTTTGTTAAAAAAAATAACAACTTGTGTCGTTCTTTTTTGGAAAAAAAACTGCTTCGTTCTATTAAAATTTAAAAAAAAATTATATTTAAAACTTGGACACCGTACGCGAGTAAAGCATGTAGATAATTTAAACTAAAAAAAAAGCCAATTCGAAACGGAACGATAGGATCATTCTTCAAGTCATCCTTTTTAGTTTTCATTAAAAAAAAAAAAAAAAATGGTTGTGTTCAGTGGAAAAAGACTGAACCTTTGCTGGTTTAAAAAAAAATCAATCTTTCGTTTATTAAAAAAAGAAAGTGCAAAAAAAGCATACTGGTTTTGCCCATTGGATAAAAAATTATAGTTCCTGTAGAGGACTCTTGTGGTTTTGTACAGAGGAAGAAGTATTCAGAACTTCTGTACTTACGGTGTTTTATCAAAAAGGTTATTCAAAAAACGTTTTAATACTGGTTTTGTTCAGTGAAACCTTTTATTTTTTTTTTAACTTAAGTACTTAGGGTTTTCTAACAAAAAAGTTCAGATAAAGCTTTAAAGCTGATTTTACCAAAAAATTATTGGCCCTTTATTGTAAAGAAAGCATACTTAAAATTTGTTCCGCGAGAAAAGTAGTTCAAACTTATTCCTTCAAAAAGCATATTTTAAAATTGCATAATAAAAATAAATTATGTTGAAAACTGAAAACTACACCTTTTTAGTATTTTGAATTGAAAAACAATTTAAACTGTTAGGAGACTTTATATTTGAAAATTTTACAGTCCTTGTAGAATAAATAAAAAACCTGAGAACATATTTTGAATTGTCTTTTAAAAAACCCATAAAATTGAGTTTTACCGGTAGAAAATATCAATAAATTTATATATTTCAAATAGTGTCTGACAATTTCTCAGATGGTGTAACTATTTTGTCAATTTATCATACTTGACAAAAATAAATAAATTGACTATTTTATAGTACAATGCCCCAGATGGGGGAAACATTGTAGTTTTTATTATAATTTTTTTGGAAGAAAGAATTGCATGAATAGGGCACATATGGTGACACAAAACATTGCACAATACAAAATATTATTTTAAGAAAATGAGAAATTGTAGTTGAAAAAACCATCAAGGGAAGGGGTGAATTTACCAATATTGAAAACAAATAGGTTTATAGGCAGTTTTCCCCTTTGCAGGAGTGAGATTTTTTTTGACACACTTACAGGTGAAATTGAGTTTTAAATGGGTAAATGGTTAGGAAAGTCAGTGGTTTACTTCTTTATATGGTGAAAGGTAGAGAACTTCTGAGAGTTGTTTTCCCATATTAGGCAAGTGGGGCATGAAGGATTGTAGGCATCACTAACTTGTTGATTGTGAAATCCCCCCCATTTTAATTTTATTTTTATTTTATTAACAAAATCTGTTCCTTTTCAGCGTGAATGTATCTCTGTACACGTTGGACAAGCTGGAGTCCAGATCGGAAATGCCTGCTGGGAGTTGTACTGCCTTGAGCATGGCATCCAGCCTGATGGTCAAATGCCATCAGACAAAACTATTGGAGGAGGTGACGACTCTTTCAACACCTTCTTCTCCGAAACCGGAGCTGGAAAACACGTCCCCAGGGCAGTTTTTGTGGATCTCGAACCGACTGTAGTTGGTGAGTTTCAAATATTTTTTTGAAATTTGTGAAATATTGCAATCAAATATTTATACCAATTTCTCAATGTTTAGATGAGGTTCGTACTGGGACATACAGACAATTGTTCCACCCTGAACAGTTGATCACCGGAAAAGAAGATGCTGCCAACAATTACGCTCGTGGACATTACACTATCGGGAAAGAAATCGTCGACTTGGTACTTGACAGGATCCGAAAATTGGCCGACCAATGCACTGGACTCCAAGGATTTTTGATCTTCCATTCTTTTGGAGGTGGCACTGGCTCCGGATTTACTTCCCTCCTCATGGAACGTCTCTCGGTCGATTACGGAAAGAAATCAAAGCTTGAATTCGCCATCTACCCAGCTCCTCAGGTAATGACATAATTGAATCTAAAAGTTCTTTTTTGAAGTATCATTTTCCATTTCTGTTATTTTCTTTATATTAATATTTTGGTTTGCTTTTAGGTATCTACAGCCGTTGTTGAGCCTTACAACTCCATCCTCACAACCCACACTACTTTGGAACACTCTGACTGTGCATTCATGGTCGACAATGAAGCTATTTATGACATCTGTCGCCGTAACTTGGACATTGAACGCCCTACTTACACCAACTTGAACCGTCTCATCGGTCAAATCGTGTCATCCATCACTGCCTCCTTGAGATTTGATGGTGCTCTCAATGTAGATCTTACTGAATTCCAAACTAACTTGGTCCCCTACCCCAGAATCCACTTCCCTCTTGTCACCTATGCCCCTGTTATTTCTGCTGAAAAGGCATACCATGAACAACTGTCTGTTGGAGAAATCACCAACGCTTGCTTTGAGCCAGCCAACCAGATGGTGAAATGCGACCCGAGGCACGGAAAATACATGGCCTGCTGCATGTTGTACAGAGGTGATGTCGTGCCCAAGGATGTCAACGCCGCCATCGCCACGATCAAGACCAAGAGGACAATCCAGTTTGTCGACTGGTGCCCCACAGGTTTCAAGGTCGGGATCAACTACCAACCACCCACTGTCGTCCCAGGTGGTGACTTGGCTAAGGTACAACGTGCTGTCTGCATGTTGTCCAACACCACTGCCATCGCCGAGGCTTGGGCAAGGCTCGACCACAAATTCGACTTGATGTACGCCAAGCGTGCTTTTGTCCACTGGTACGTCGGTGAGGGTATGGAAGAAGGTGAGTTCTCCGAAGCCAGAGAAGATTTAGCCGCCCTCGAGAAGGATTACGAAGAAGTCGGCATGGACTCAGCAGAGGGAGATGGCGAGGGTGCTGAAGAGTACTAAAAGCAAACGAATTGAATTATTTTTTACATTTATATTTTTTTATTTGCCTCCCTTTCCAATTCTGTTATTGGCCAAGGTACTCTTTAAGGGCGTTCTTAATTGAAATATAAATTGAATCATTTATTTGTTTTATTTAATTATTACACCACTTTCCTCATTTCTTAAAGAATATGAGTGTCAGCACTCAATAAGGCCAAGTTTAGAAAACTTGCTGTTTTAGTGTATTATACTGCATAATCAATCATTAGAAATGGCAATAGGGAAAAATGCTCACTATTTTAAAAATTCATAAATATACTATATAATCATTCATTAAAAAAACTTCTAATTTGAATGGAAAAAAATAAAATGGAATGAATGTCAATTGCATTACCCAATTCTTTTTCTTTTTGCTCTTCAACATATTCATGTTGAAAGAAAATAAAACAAATCAGACACTAATAATCATAATTTATTAAAACATCCAAAATAAATATATGGGTATGGGTCTGAATTAAAATTAATGAGATATATTTTATAGTTTTTGTAGAATTACAGCATTTATATGATCAGATTCCTCCTTTTAATTTTGTTACCATTTCAGTGAGATCCTCACTGCAGATGGCACAGCCCAAAATCACATTTGACTGACCCTGTGCTGATTCTTTTTTTTTTTTAATTTATCTTTTAATATAATTTTCTGTATCACCCAAGTTCGATTAATTTCTGTTTTTACGTATAAAGACTTGCTTGCTACATTTGTAAGTTGAAAATATGAAAGAGGGCAGACTTATTTTTGTTTTAAAAACAAGGCTCCTATTTCTACAACTCTTAAAAACAAATTTTTCAGGAAAGGTAAAAACTACATATTAGCCTAGATCTTTTGGAAATAAGGGTCTCATGTAAGATTTATAGAATACTTCAAAAGAAATTTATTATACTAATTTGTCCTTGTACCTGGAAAGTTAACTGAAATCCTAATCAATTGTTAAGCTTTTCTTTTTTCCTCATGTTCTTTTCATTAGCCTAATTGATTTTTTCTTCAAATACGCAGAATAAAATTTGAACCTTTTTCTTGGTATGATAAGGATAAATACCTGAGCACCTGGTCCTGAATGTTAGCATAAAGTTATAGCGTACAAATGCATAAGAAAATTAATTCCAAAAAAAAATTTCATTGCCCAATTTATGAGAATTTTTTTTCGAGGGTTTGCAACAGCAGAGGTCATATAAACCCGGGGACCTTTACCTTACAGTGATGAGCGCCGTGTCAACACCTAAAACGCTGCGGCCACTGACACCCTTAATTTGCTTCGGCGGTCCATGTACTAAAATTGGACTTCTATTATAAAATAAGTGAAAATTTCTCCATTATTATTAGTATGATCAGAATAAAACAAGATATTGCTGGATATTTCTGTTGTCTTTAGTTCTAATCCAGTGGCAGGTCTCAAGTCAGCATCACAGAAAAAGTGCAAGATCTGACCTGTTTATGTCGTTTCTTTAACTTTTTGTTAGACGTTTATGGAATATTCATCGCCGTATTGGTCCTTGTAGATGTGGGATGATGACTCAATCGATGCCGTCGACTGCCCACTGGCTTATTCATATTAATGGAAAAGCCTTTTGGACAATTATTCGTCTTTGCATGACTTCAACTTGAATTTACCAACTGAACCTGCAGTTCTTAAAACCATGGTGCATAAACAATGAAATAAGAAGACAAATGAAACAGTTTGTTGAATAAAAAAAAAAGTAATTTCTTAGTAACAGAAAGGCTTTATGTCCAACTACCCATTGGGAGTTGTGGATGAAAGGTGAAACCACTTTACAGTCCATGTTTTCATTTCATACAGTCCAAATTATCGACTTAGGCAGAGATTTGAACACAGAACCGCTAGCGTGGCAAATACTAGTCACTAGTCAGACACCCTATCCACTCAGCCAACACGGTCCCTTGCACTTTCATTTTTAGATCTGCTATGCCCAGGTTTGAAGCAAGAACCACTAATGTGGCAAATATTAGTCGGACGCCCTCACTACTTGGCCACCAAGGTCCTGTGAATATGTAAATAAAAATAAGTAGTAAAATAGTGGTCAATTTCTCCCTTCCAGTTTAAACATTGTATAGTGCAAAATAAAAAAATGGCAACATTTTTACCAGACATCCACAATATTGATTCGATCAGGAATAAAACTTAAGGAATGGATAAATAATATAAAACAAGAAGCAACTGGGATAATTTTAAATAATTTATTATTTTAAATAAACCACTTTATTGTATTTAATATTGTGCTTGAAAAGGTTCCTTTTAAAGTATTTTTGTACTATTCGCTTAAAACAACTTTGACCAATTGAAAAATTAAATGTAAAATCAAATGCTGTAGTTTTTAACATACATTTTGTAACGATTATACAAGAAGGATAATCGTTCCAAATGGCAAATAGTCTGAAGAAAGTTGACAATGAGCCTTCAAATAGAGCTTCGTGGTGACCTGTTTTGTCCTTGGTAAAAAAATCCTGAAAGGCCTAGATAAAAATCAGACATATTTATTGGGCGCAATAGATGATAATACAGATATATTTTTCAATGTGGTCAGTGAAAAGTAAAAAAAGAAAAAGGGCTTAAAATTTTGAGAAAATATTCATATCTTACATAATCGTTACAATTTATAAATGGAAACATCAATTTATATTATTACAGTTTAAGAGAAGGAAATTCTTTATACTGTTAATACTATAATTTTAAAAATGACTACGTTTCTCTAATGTTAAACAAATCTACTTTTATTTTATTACGCTACAATGACAAATATGTTCTACTGTTTGATGTCTGAAAAAACAAATTAGTAAATTGACTGTAAACAATATGTCCGATTTTAAGTAAATGACAAGTTAGTTGATACAACTCATAATTACCGTAACTACTTCAAATTTATAATTGAAAAAGTTCAACAATGGCAATACTTGTGGGTTTAAATTAAAGTACTAACATTTAAAAGTATCATCGCCTATGCCTACAAGAATCCCTCGAAAGGGCTTACAGATCAAGATAAGTTTTGGTAACTTACTTCCTTTTATGTTCTAAAAGACACATTTCACTTAACACTTTAACACCAATTATTTTAAGTATTGATAATAAACCAAAAACTGTTGCGAAAGACCATTTTCATTTTCTTACAACCCAGTGCACTATTTAAAAAGTGTCACAATCTTGTCAACTTTTTTTCATTACTCTTTTTTTTTTAAATATACATAGAAAATATAAATACATTTGGTACTAAAACGTTTATTTTTGTACTGATTGATTACTTGAAGAGTTTTAGACAAAAAACAAACTCAATTTAATTTCCCAAAAATATACATACATACATAATTTGGTAATTTAAAAAAAAGAAAGAATGTATATTAGAAAATTAAAAATAAAATCAACTGTCTTATAAACAAAAAATGTTTATTTTATTTTATTTTTTTTTAGTTAAAAACAAGAAGTTTTGCATTTATTCAAGCTATTTTGTTTTATTTGATGCTTGTAAAATATTTACTTTTTCCCTTTTTTCTTTTTTTTCAGTGTTTTCTTAAATCTAATTGCAGGAAGATTCTTTTGCTATAGATTCAGTTGTGGGTTGACAGTTCCATCAAGTTCGAACTGATCCTGTTCGATTGGTTTTTTCATCCAAGTTCCGAGGTTTGCTTTCTGAAATGCTTGGACCATCTGGATCTTGGCTTCCTGCAATGCATAAAACGACGATTGTTTGTATTTATGTATAGAAAGGTCGAGATTTTACTTTTCTTACCCTATATGTCACCTCAGCATATTTGGCATCCAGGTAAATGTCAGGCATATCCGCCACTCCTGACCTGGTTGGGAGTTGAAAGTCAACAAGTGTGCGGAAGAGGTGGTAGAATTTCTGCTTGCACAAACGGGAAACGCTGCCGGATATGCACTTCCCAGTCATAGTATTAACAACCTCAATTGGTCCATCATCTGAAAGCATATTATTTATGCAAGTATATTTAAGTAATTATTTAGAGATTGCAACATTCGGTCTGGTGTGATGTAGATTTAGAAAAATATTTTATTTCTAAGGTGAAAGGGGCTGATAATGAAAAGAAAAGTCTTTCACCTCAAAGAAGCCGACCCTTCACAGAAAAATGAATTTCTATCCTGACTTCCTTCCCCACTCCTTCAAAATCAAACATATATAAACAAAAGACATTAATATCTCACAACACTCTCAACACGACACTCTACACAGAAAACACTGAGTGGGTACAAATACTTTGATTAAATCTAAAAATTTTATATTATACATCATTGTATAAATTTATTTTCATATCTTATATGTATTTGTATAATTTAAACAATATTTATAAATCCCAGGCCTTGAAGATGATCTCAATAAAGATCGAAACTTTGAAAAGAAAATGTTTTTCTAAATCACATCTCACGATCTCTAAATAATCATTAATTAACATTCACTAAATACTGCACACTTTTTAAGTAAATTGAGGCCTGCTGAAGAAAAAAAAAATTTTGGATGGGTAATCACGAGAGCTCGAATTCCTGTACATCTTTTTTTAGGCTACTGTGAACTTCACAAGATCAAGTTATTTATCGAGTCAGTTGGTGTATTCAAAATCAAGTTCTATATTGTGCGAAATCACAAGTTTTGAGGATTACACGAAACGTTGCACAAAACTGAGCTACAGAAATTCAGTGTTCAGTTGCATTGTGCTAAAGTAAACAAACGCCCCCAGGTATTTCATAGAACTAATTAAACTATGGTTTGACTTTTTATTTAGTTTTTTATCCCACTGTAAATTTTGAAAAAAAAAGTCAAAAGATGAAATTAGTAAATCTTCCAAAATCACAGGATAGAAAAATATTTGGAAATAAACATAGATGCCGGTATGGTTTATGGTGTTCCAGTACAAAACTTAGTTTTGAGAGAAAATCTCAAATTGAGGCTCAATGTACCACTAGTAAGTATTTATTGTATATTTTTAATAAACAGAAACAGTCTTCTGACTAAAAGTTATTAACCCGAAAGCTGTTCTTCTAATAATCTTTTATGCCAAGTTAATTCTAACTCTAAGCCTGTCAAGAAATTTCTGGAAAATATACCCAACAAAACAATGGAAGAGAAATTTTTAAGAAAGTTTCGGATGAGTCTGTTCAAATTAATAATTATACCAAGTCGCAGCCATTGAAGTCAAGACTTTTCACAATATTATGTGATGATATGGGAAGCCTTCATCATTCCCAGCTTCTCCAGGAAAGCACTTTAGGCTATTACAGGAATTTCATTCTGAAATCTTAACTCCATTGCTGTACCACTGTGAACTGTCATATTTATCATTTATTTAATTTCATTTTCATGAAAATGAATGAGATGAGAAAGATCGCGCATTCAAAAGAAAAATCCAGATTTGGGTTGAATCTGTTGAGAAGGAAGAGGTGAAGTGTTTTCTTGTCTTAAACAATTTTTTAAAAGAAAACTGAGACTTGCAAACAGCACTTTGATTGTTGAAATATATAAATATGTGAATAAATAAATAAAATAAATATGTGTAATATATAAATATGTGATGAAATATATAAATATGTAAACACATTCGAAGTTTAGAGATGTCTTTTGAGTACTACTTTCCAACAGCTTGTGGCACAATGCTACAAGACCAAGAATGGGTGGTCAAACCATTTTCAGTTTCAACAAAGCAAATCAGCCTATTTTTAATTGAATACTTAAGTTTGATAGAAATTACTTCATATAATGCCTCGAAATCTACTTTTGAGTCCGATACTTACCCCCATTTTTAGCTCTGCCTGGAAAACAAAAGAGTTCACCCACTCGTTGAAAAAGCAAAACTTTTGCCACAATTTATCTGTGCAATTTTTTATACAACCACTAAAACTAAATACCGAAGCTGTCTAGATGCTGAACCTAATATTCGTCTCCAGCTATTAAAAATTAAATCCAACTTATCCAAATTTTGCAGACTAAAAAGTCTCATTCTTCCCCATTAATTGATTAAGTTTAAATTATTACTTTTGAATTTGCCTTGTTTTACATACAATTTGATTTTTATGTTAAAGATTTTGTAAATAAAGTTAAGTATGTTAATCTAATGTTTGTTTGCAGAGTGATATCCTCCTCCATCACCTAATTAGTAATGGACTGGCTAATTTATAAAACTTTAATTTATTAAATACTGTAAGTATCTAATTTTAAATATTTGAATGAGGGGGTTCGCCTGGGAATTTTTTCTGTGAAAGGGTCTGCTGGGCTAAAACGTTTGGAAAGCCCTGCTGTCTGATAAGAGATGATCAAGCTAAATCTTTGTTATTAATTAAAATTATATTTTTGAGGTATATTTTCCATACCAATTATCCAATTCACGCTGTGGCTCGGAGCTTTTCCAATATGCCTAGCTTCTGGGGAGCTTGTAGTATTTAGCTTGAGTTTATTGAGACGGAAAGGTGGAGGGAGACCCACAAGTGTGTTTTCAATCCTTTGATATAAAGCCCTGTAATTAAAATTAAAAGTTGAATATATTTTTGTACAAGTTTTATTTTTTCTTTTTTTGTGAAAAACGAACCTTCTCAGATGGGATGGATGGAATAGAGAGCCAACGACTAGGCTGTGTAGGTACACAGGTTCCAAGAAATGCGAGAGGAGGGAGCCTTGCAGTCCGACCACATTCCACTTAGCAATCTTATCTGAGCATGACATCGTCAGGAGTCTTTCTCCCTGTAAATAATTGCAATTAAGTACATTTGGAATTTAGTCAGCGGTGGCGAAAATCTACCTGCATCACTCCGTCCCAAGTCTGGATAGAATTGGCGGATTTTACTGGAATCGTCCCTTCCCCAGATTCAATTTTAGTTCTCAACTGGCCTCTCGACTGACGGTTTGGATGCCTGTCAACGGCCTCTTCATTCTGGCTGTCAGAATCGTGAGGAGAGAAAATCCTGAAATCAAAGTTAAACACAAAACTTTCAGTGGAGAACAGCTTAAAAGAAGAAAACGATAAATATGAATTTATTTAAATACCTCGCATCGCCGCAGGGTGAAGTGCTAATGTACAAATGAAACTTAAATTGAGGTTTCAAGCGAAAACCAGAAGTGTCACTTCTCTCAAAAATTGAACTCTCAGCAGTAGCTGAAAAACAATTAAGAAAAAGGGATATTTTTAAATTAATGTGCTTCACAGTTCACTTTCAAGTGATTTTGTTTTGGTTTTTCATTGGTGCTGAGTTGCAAAAGTTAATATATAAAATTATACTATAAAGGGGTTATTAGGCAAACATGTGTTAGTGGAAGCAAAAGCAGTAAAAATAAATATATCAACCAAAAATGGGTACAATATGCCAAAAGAACCCTGTAAACCCCATATTATCAACAAACAGTAATCAATTAGAACATGGAAATGCATTTAATTTGCCATAAATTTTTAGTGAAATATATAAATTTGTTAACATCCATCACCACCCAAAATGATCTTATTAGAAAACCTAATTAGCTATTTAAAATAAATTTTACTAACTTAATTACAAATTTTTAATAGTCAAACCAATCTTTATGTTAAAATATTGTCTGGGTTTAAAAGCAAGTATAATCTTAAGTACAATAATATATGGTAAGATTTGTATGTATAAATACATTTGTATATTACAAATAGGGTGAGTATGGTAAATTTATATTTATGTTATACATACTATTAGAATAGTTCGGAAGAAACTATAATTATTGAATTAAATTATTAAATCTAAATAGATTAAGTGTTTAATTGCACCAATTTAAATGATATGTAAGTTGATTTGTATTGTTTAGCAACACATACATGATCCAAACGAAACTGTAAAACAAAAACAATTTAAAGAAAATTACAAATAAAGGAATTATATTATAGCCTTACAAAAGTTACAGGTCAGAAAAGCATTCGTGATAACAAGGAATAATTAATTTGATTAATTTATGAGTTCATAAATTAATTAAACATACAAAAGTATACGAAGGGCATTTTTTGATCTGATTTAATTATTTGAAGCTAATTTATTAGCTACTTTATTTTAGCTGGGTGTTAACATGGATCAAGTTTAGTTTTCAGTGTTAAACAGACATAACCTCATACAGTAATGTTATTGTACAGTAGTACGATATACATCTTTGTATTTTATAAAAACTAAAGGTCCATTGTAAGAGAAAAACATGGAACAAATATTTATCATTTATGCACAATCCAGATTAAAAATATAAAGGAAAATAATATAACCTTTTTCTAAAATAGTTGTATGAAGAAACAGTATTCAGTATACCAAATCTAATTAATAAAATAATAATACGATAATAAAATAATAACAGAGAGCGACATTTCATGAAAAAAAATTATTCACCCTACTGATTATTTAAAATGTTGTAAATTATTCACTTAGAGCAGTGATTCTCAAACTCCCAGAGGTGCTGTGGCAAAACACTAAACCTCCTTTTAAAAAACTCTAAAAACTAAGACTTTGGTGGCCATCCAATCTCAATATGGACGGTTAACGAGACAGCTGCAATAGTGTATTTTATATTATTGCCCCTAAAAAAAAGTATTCACTAGTTTTGCTATTAAGTGTGTAATCACTTTTCAAAAGGCAAGTTTTTCAATTTTGCAAGAAAGTGAGGAGTTTTGATTATTTATTAAATAAAATTGCAGACAAAATAAGAGCTTTAGATATATCAATACTTTTCTGAATTGAAAATTAATTACAACTACTATCATAAAGTTCATGCTGAGGTAGACCATTGTTTTGACTCGGGGTGCTGTGGAAAAATTCTGATATATCAAGGGCACCAGAAACAGAAAAAGTTTGAGAACTGCTGTCTTAGAGCATAAAATTAATTAAATTATATTGGTTAAGAAAAGTTCTCTGCAATTCTTTATTAAAAAAATATTCTATTACTCAACTTTATTTTCAATTGAACGATTCGGTAATTAATGAAAGAAGAATTAAGAAAAGTTATTCTTACAGATTGTACTGATTGTCAGACTGAGACCGCATATGTGGTCATTACGCAGGGATAAAACAGTCAAGTGTATTTTTAACAGTGGATGGCTTGATGCATATACACAATATTTTGTGATACCATCAGGCACAGATCACTGTTCCAATACCTCAAGCTATAGGGATAAAAATTCCTAAAATTTGTAAGTACAGTTTGTGTTTTGTTTATGAACTATTGGAATGAATGTAATATGTTAGCAGGAAAAGGTTGTTTAGCCCGGTTTTGAGGAATATCAAGTACTCTGGGTGAGTGTGTGAGATATGATGAGTAAAATAAGTTAATAGCCAGAATGGAGACGGTTCAACCAACCTCCCTGTGGGATATTGGGTGCTCTTGGGGATTATTGTGACCACAGTTCTACTTTTGATTGAATGGTGATGGGGATATTGGTGTCACAATTGCTTTTAGGGATGGTTAGGTGGTGGTCACAATTGCATACTACTGATACAAAGCATGAAATTTCGACGTATTCTGCCAGCCGTGTTTTCTGGAGTGGGGTGCCATGGGGGTTAGTTTTTCCACACATTTTTACAAGCATAATCTCATCAAATAGCTTGCTTTTGCAACATCAGCCCTATATACGGCAAACATTTACTCGACGTACCCTGGAGAGTCTTACAGCAACACACTGCTTAGGTTTCTAGCTTTGGGATTGCCCTGGCGATCGGATGTTTAGTTAGACGAACACAACTCTCTGAATATTTATGTATTATGTTTAGATATGTGATAGTTCAAACCTGAGGTAAGCTCGAGGTTAGAATGTTAACATATGGTTCATAGTTTTTTCCCCACTTTCTTTCTTAATTATATTTTTCCAGTATATATTTTTTTTTGTGTGAAAAAAGTAAAGATGAAACATTAGAGTAGCAAGTGGGCTTCATTCAAATCCATGACATCTTCATTTATACCCTAGGTGCAACTTGAGCCATCATGTTGTCCCCCCCATTAACAACTTATCTCAACCTACAATTATTTAACACATTCAGTGCATCCTGGTATTTCAATTTTCACCCTCCCATGCAGCAAAAATGTTCTATTCCTGGAAATACTGGCTGTTTGTATTTGGAAAAGAATGATAATGGCAAAAGCCTAAAGCTATTCTGAAAAGAAATGTGTAGTGTTTTCACAGTCAAAGTTGTAAGGTACCTTGCAACATGATAAAAAAGAATGGAAATTTGTATGCTTCTGTGTGCAGGTCATGTGTCTTAGCCAGTCAAGACAACAGCATTTTCTGTTCTGACCACCTACCTTGACAATTCTCATTAACCCAAGAAAGCTTACGCCTTTCTTATGTTGGGGATGCTAGGTTAGAAAAATCTAAGAGTAATTACCACAATATAACTGACAGCACAAAACCTGATAAGGGCACGAGGGAGCTAAAGCCTTCAGGAAGACCGAACAGACTTAAACTTAGTCAAATATGCTTCAGTTTTCTCAGTCTGAAATCATAGCAATTGAACATAGCACCAGAAAAATAAAATGGCTAGGAACATGTTCTCGCAAGATCTTCTCTGACAGTCAGGGAGCACTTAATGCCTTAGCCTCAAGCGATGCGAAGGCAAAAAGTGTATGGTACTGGATGCCCAAGCAAAAGTCATTGACACAACTGACCCCGGCACGAGTCTTTGGACATTCAGGGCAAGATGCAATGAGAAAGTGGACATGTAGTCAAAATAGGAGCCAACATGATTCCTCCCCCGACACAGAGGTCATATCAACTCTAAGGGTGTTGGTGTTTTTAGGGGGAGTGTGTCTGGCTCAAATGCAAGGCCCTGACCTTTACCTTACAGTGATGAGTTTAGTCAACGCCTAAACCGTTGCAGGTACCAACACGCCTACCAATATGAATTCTCTAGGCCCTAAAACCTGATGTGTCCAAGCATCTTTCCACAAAAAAAGATACATTCAAAAATGGATCCTTAATGAGTCCAAGACCTGCTGGAACAATACCCCAGACACGAGGCACACAAAGGGATTCATAGAAGGGCCATACACAAAACTTACAAAGGAATTATTGGAAGGTACCACAACAGAATCAGGATTCTGGTTGGGCTCCTGCCAGGGCACTGCCACCGCCTAAGAAGGCGCATGGGAGTACAGACAGAATACTGTGCAGATACTGCTAGGAAGAAAAATAAACAGCAAAACATGTTTTGTGTTTATGTGAAGGTCTATGTATGCTGATTCTGAAACTGCAAGACTACATTGAGCCACTGGCAAGGCTATAGAGGTTGATTAACAACCTGAAGCTGGACAGTGAGTTACAAAAATAGAAGAGCACAATAGATCTACTTAGGTGGAGGTGCAGAAGGCCCCGAGGCCACCTCTTTTACCCCTATCCCCTACCACAATATAACAAATTGAGTAACTATTTAAAAAGATTTTTAAAAATATTTTATGATAGATACCACATTATTTGTGTGGTTTACAAAAAATAAAGTAACACCACAACTATGTTTGTATGTTTTTGATAATTATTAAACCATATACTGTATTGCAGAACTTAATTGGTAAAATTGGTTTCTGATGCATGACAGATCCACACTTAATTTTTTAATTAAAGGTAAATAAACTATATATCATCCGGGTACCGCAGTGGCTGAGTTGTTAGGGTGTCTGTTGCATTTGCTGCCACACCAGCAGTTCTGGGTTCGAATCTTGGCACACCCCATGACTTTTTAATTGAGTATGAAAAATGCATTGTAAAGTGGTTTGCCCCCCTCGTCCGCTACACCTAATGGCTAGTTGGACATTAAGCCTTCCTGTATGACAGGAATTATTTAATTTTGCTTTATATCATCACTGATAAACAATTTGTATTGTTTAGCAATAGATATATGATGTATTTGCTTTGCTCAATTAAAATAAGCCTATTATGTGTATGGAACCTCTCTACTGAGAAGGGCACCATCTGCTTGCACCCTGAACGTTCTAAAATGCAAGAAAGTAAAGGGGTAGGAATGTTCAGTTCTGAAACCAAATACTTACAATCCACGGGGTGAAAGTACACTAGCATCTTCCAGGCTGAATCCATGTAATTGAGTACTCAGTTCAATTTGAAAAAGGGTACCAAACAAGAATATAGTTATCAAGATAGTCAGGCAACCATCAAAGCACTAAGCTCAAAGATGGAGTTGAATCAAATGAAATTAAGTAGGTATGCAAAATAAAGTCACAATCTGCTGGGTCTCAGGACATGTAGAAGTAGAGCAAAATGAGAGAGGGGATCTTTTGCAAGTAAAAGGGCTGCTAAACATAGGTCCTTTTGCACAGGGGTTCACACTGTCATTGAGTCTTAGATAAAAAGACAAAATGAACATAAGCAAACAATGGAATTCATTCATAGGGCATAAACAACCAAGAACCTTCTAGCAAGTTTTGGAAGAAGCAACAGAATGTAAAGGAAGTACGACAAAACATCGAATCCTAACAGGATCTTAATGGGACACTGCGGAATGAATGGGCATGTGAAGAAGATTGGCACAATCCATACATGCAGATTCTGCAAGGAAGCAAAAGAGACACCTACTAACAAACTACACTCGCCCGCAGGAGGAATTGTTTGGGATATAAAACATAACCGTGGAAGAAATTCAACCATTGAAACAGCCTACTAATAAAATTTTTTTGAGGAACTAGGACTCACTGATGTGCTATAGGTACAAAGTAGGGGATTCAAGAGCTCTCAAATGGTGCAGTATATTACTCATCTTGAACAATACACATCAGTATGAGGAAAAAATCAATGTTTTTATCAAATGAAAATTAGCTATAATTAAAATTTTAAACATTTTGAACAAAAAACAAAATTTAGTCATACTTTCAATATGTTTAAAATAACTTGTATTTTCCAAGCAAGCGATTCTAAGTTTGAGTCTGGCATAGCTCATGCCTTTTTAATTTACCTTAACATTTCACTTGATCATATTTTTATCAGTATTTCCAAGCAGATACAGAAAAAAATATGTTTTAAAAATGTTAAAATGAACTTTTCCATTCTGTATCAAAAAACAATACCTGAGCTTATCTGTTAACTACTAGTGTATCAATTAATTTTGAACAATAATGAACTTAAGTTTAATAATTGTGTTATTTCAATGTTTAAAAAAAATTATTAAAATTTAAAATTCAGCCTAACAAGCAAAAAGTGGGTGAACAGGCTCAACAACCCAGATAGCAACAACTACAAACTCAAGTCCACAAAATTTACTAAGGGTCTTTTAACTTCCACCACATGAAGTAAAAATAATAATTAGAAAGAAGCAAACTGCAAGCTCTCATTAAAAGATAAGATAAAATAAAATAATAATAATAAATTCGGTCAAAAAATAACACTACCTCTTTGGCAACAGCCTATTGGATTCTGAATTCCGTCTGTAGGGAATTCAGTAAGAAGAATCATAAACAGCTTCTCCTTGTATCTCAAATCCAATTGTTCCCAAACTCCATTTGTTTGGTGTTATGTTCACTATGGTCCTACTAGAAACATATATTAAATATTCAGAACCTACGTTCTTGATGCAGTTCTTTTGTATGTTTTCTTTTTTTAATGTTTTGTCCATTTAATGTCTATTCGTTTTAAACATATGAAAATTCCGATATGATTGTAGAATGTAATGAACTAAGTCCATAAGTTTCAAAATTTGTTATACTGTTATTTGTTAAGTTATGCTGTTAATTACATTATAGGATCAGTTGGCAAAATTCTGTTATTTTTAAATGAAATTACAACTACAACTCATATTGGCCAAACTTTGTTGTTTATTGAGCTACATTTTTTTTATTAAGTATTTTTAAAAATTACATGATAATGTTTTAATGTATCTTGTGACCAATATGAAAATCATCAAAAATGTAGACTACAGTGTACAATGATATATAAAAATGATTTAAAAAATGTACAAATAGCAAATGTTAAGTTAAACCATGCTAGATTAAATATGAATCATCTTTATTATTTGAAATGAATGAGTACAATTTGACAATTCAAAGGACCCCCAGTTTGATTTCATCTTGTTTTCTTTAAGCAAGACAGCAAAACAAATTTATATTAAACATTTAATCTGTTTTATGGAAGTAATTATTATTTCTACAAAATTAACGAATACAAAGACAGTACTTTCCAATAAATTAAATTTTAAAAGAACTGCACCAAGAAGGTACATTCAAAATAAATAATATAAGTTTATGCAGGCACAATTAACAATTTAAAAATACAAAACATACCAACAAAAACAAAAAGGAAAAAAGAGAGTGAAAAGAAAGATAGAATTTAAAAGTGGCTTTTCTTCATTTTTTCTAACCTGGATCTGTGTGTAAGAGAAGTTGCTTATAGAAGAAACGTATGAGGCCTCGCCTTGCGATAATTTCAGCGTGACAATCGTTAAGCACAGCGCCTTTCACGCTGATGTGCTCGCCCCCGACACATTTTGTCCCGGTGCCCAATGAGATCATCTGTATGTCGCTTAGATCCTCCTCCGTCGACATGAGAACGCCGGCCAAAACCTTTCTTTTGGCGTAATCTTGGTGGTTGGCCATCAGATCGTAGTAGTGTTCGAGGACAATCCTTAAACAGACATTTACAAAATGAAACGTGCATTTCATTTTGTCAATAGCTGAAGAACTGCCGTCTCAAAATCATGTTTTGTACAATCAATTTCTAATAATAATACTGTATAAAATTAAAAAAAAAAAAAAAATGTGTTTTATAATGTTTTATGTATTATTCTTTTTTTAAAAGTATTTTTTAATTAAAAGCATAACTACATGCCTATATAAATTGTGCAGCGGTAAAAGATTTATCTTTCTTCTATTGTACTGTTGAAACTGTAAGCGTAATAGTTTGAAAGCACAAGAAGCATTTAAGAGTAGAAAAAATTGAATCCAAAGCTCTTAAAAAAAATTGTGAAGAATAAAATACCTCGGAATTACGCCAATATGACTGTAACACAAAATTAATTCTTTTAATTACTATGCTTTAACTTTAAATTAAAGAGTTTCATTGAAGTGCACAACAAAATAAATTTTTCACTTTAAAATTATTCTATTTATTTTAATTCTAAATTAATCACCAAGTTTCGTTTGATGTACATGTTTTGTGTGACCACAGCTGCACTTGGCATGAAATGTTTATCTGTTAAATTTTTTTTACATTTCAAACATACATATATGTATAGAAAGATGCATGCATATGATAAATAAGAGAAAAATTGCCAGTAAACGATGAACACTGTTAAGACAAAGTAAAAGTAAAAAAATCCACAAAAAGATATTTTCATTACTGGGCTTTTTTCTCTTTAACTCATAATAAAAACTTAAACGGTGATGTAATGAAATTCAATAGAATGACATTAGGAGAAAAAACTTTCAACTATATTTCATCGCCAAGTGATAAATTGGAAATTGTTTTCATTATTTAAATAATAACTTTTTTTTACATTTTCTAATATTAGATATTACTAGTTTATTACTGGGTAAAAATAATCAATATGGCCTCTTATATCTTGGATGAAATGCATTTAAATGTTATTCATGAATGTAAAGCAGTCAAATTTGTTTATAATCATGAACTTGCATCAACATAATTTCAAAGAATTAACTTTTATTTTGTCGATTCGATAAAATCAATAAATGTAATTAATTCCATTTTGATTGAAAAGATAGGAGCACCAAAGCACAATAATTTAGTTACTTCTTATTTAATTTGGTAGGCTCAAATGAACTTTATCTGCTTCCATTTGGTGCGCGTAACAGTTCTAAACTGACTTTTTGGATGAACTGCCCCTTTCTTTTTTTTTCTAGGGCTTTTCCCACCCTAGAGCTAACGGGGCTTGCAAGTAATAACAGATAGCCTTTATAAGGATGCAAGTTAAAATTTGAAAAAATGAAAAAACTTATGCACACCCAATATTTGCCGAATTAGCAGTACTGGGTTCGATCCGCTGCATAGCCATTAGAATTTTATTTGAAATTAATTTGGACAAAGTATTGTTGTTAAGTGGTCTGACCCGTCATCTGCCCAACATAGCTGAACGTAAAACCCTCCTGTATAATGTGAATGACTTTACATTAAATAAAGATTTGTTATTTAAATTAATGTTTTGCAACATTTATACAAAAATTTTTTATAACAAACAGTTGAACAATAATTGATATTTTATAATCTGTTTGCTGGAAGAAGCAAAATATAAAATTAATAATTCATAATATTCTTTCTGTTTTTGTTGTCCTTTCTTCTTATGGATTATTTATATGGGACATATTATTTTTCTTTTAAAAATTTTTGATAGAAAGCAAGTAGTTAGATCAAACAAAAATTTAATTTCTAATTTCCTGCCTTCTACTGAAAAAAAATTATAATAATACTACAAACAATTTATTGTATCAATTTAAAAATCTTGATAAAAAGATTGGAGATAAGGATTTCTTTGTTATTTTTTCCCCAAGTATCCAGACTATGATTAATCATAATCCACTTTGAAACAAAAGGTTATTGTTGCAGGCACACAGCCATAAAGTGAAATTTAATTTAGAATCAATTGGTCAGCCTGTACAAGGGGATTGTAAATGTAATGACTGTGTTCTTAAAAATTCAATATGTTTAAAATAATATAAAAAGTTTTATGTTTTACATAAAGTAATAAAAATTCTTTACTCGACAATTTTATTGGCTGCGATGGGCTGTAGGGACATTGGTCCATTCTGCGCGAAATTGTTCTGTCCAAATGGTGGCGTCTCGTTCAGAGCAGAAGTACAGAGATGCGAGAATTTTGTCAGCAACACCGACCGGGCTGCAGCAGCTTTTGCATTCTTTTTGCTGTTTCCTAGATATCAAATCATATTTGAAAACTGATCTTTTTCCCCCTCTTTGTAACAAATAATTTTCTTACCGGAACCTTGAAACGTTGTGTTATCAACAGTCACACCGAATACAAACGGTGAAACGAACTTTTGCGAGTTCTCAATAAGACACTCGTATTTCAGGCCTGGAATGAATTCGTTTAAAGCCATTACTGGGTTCACGGCTCCAGACATCGCCTTCGCTATTAAAGTCTCCATTTTAAGTTTTTTGGGAAGCAACTGAGCTGGTGCTAAAATTAAAAATGAAATTAGTCAATACAGGGATAAACCATTTAGCCTGAATCCTACTTTTATCATGGGATGCAGAATCTTTAGTGAAATCTATGTTATCAGCAGGTGTCAACAATGACGGGCAAAGGGTAAGCAAAGCAGCTTCCGCTGCGCGTTGTTTTGCTTGCTTTTTTGCATTGGCGCTTCCACTGAACACAATTCCATCGACCTGAACAAAATCAAAATGCTAAAGTATTTTACAATCACAAACAGTATTAAAAAATAAAAACTTGACTGTGAGAACAATTCTGATATAGAATGAACTCGTAGGTAGGTACTCATCCACTGAGATCTTGTTTAACTCATAAATTCATTATGTTTGAAACAATAAGTTTCTATATTGTAAGTAGATGTTCACATTTATTAATCTTGTAAATTATTAATAGTTTTAAAGTCCTAATCATATATTCATTGAAAGCTTAATGAAGTTGTACTTTCTTTAAAATTGCTATTATTTTTTATATTAATTATAATTTTTTTTAAGTTGATCACAATCAAAATTTACTTGTTAGCATAAATTGTTGATATAATTATTGTTTATATAAAAATGTTGCTCACCTCAACAGAAGCAAGAAAATTTGGACTGTGCGGTGGTCCATCAGAGGAGACGATTTTGTATTGAAGTCCTGACCTCAGTTCATTTAAAATTGCCAATGGTGTGTGCGAACCATTTTTTCTCATTTTTTTGGCTTTCGGCTCCAATTCTGAAAATCCATTTTTTCTTGCTAAAAAACAGCAAAGTCCAAGAAAGTGCAAATTAACAAAACAAGCAATGCACAAAATGAATCGAAAACAAATTAAAAACGGAAAAATGAAAAACGGTCTCGGTAAATAACCTGTGACATGTATACGAAATGGAGATGGAAGTCTGCTATTCAACTCGATCAGATTTTGAATGATGCGTGTGTTAATCCATATATAATAAAACCATAATAAATGCGATTGGGGATTTTTTTCATCCTCGTTTCTAATAAAGAAGCCATCATCGCTTTTGTCTGAGCTCATGGTGCTTTGTTTCAAGTTTTTTCAAGGAAAGATTTTGTAGTTGAATGAAAGATCCGGGTGAAAGAAATGGCTGAAGTGAAATAAATCAATCCAGATTGTGTAGTCTCCCCACTAGCAATTTGAAATGATAAAGCCATTTTGTATTGGAACTATTTACACCTTTCACAAGAAAAACAATAACATTCAGATTCTATTTCACAGCCTTATTTCACAGCAGAAATCCAATTTATTTAAATTTTAAAGTTTATTTTTACATTTAGGAAGATCGGAACCTAATTTAAAAATATCATAAAACAATAAGAGTAAATATTAATTTTTAAAAGCAAGAAAAAACGCACTGTTAATATTTAAAAAAAAGGGACAGATTCAAAAAAATAAACTTTTAAGAAAAGAAGCAATTAATTACCTCCAGGGGAACGACTCCTCCTAAGTTTGTTGGAGTCTTTCCTCTGGTCATGGCTGCTATTTGGCGGAGATTCTGAAACCTGGAAAAGTTTATTGCATTATTATGTTATAAATGTTTGTCAGGTAAACATTTAGGTAACAGTGAATGCTTTAAACTCGGCAAAACCAAAGACTTACAATATAAAATACACACTGCTCAGTTGTTTGTTTACATTTAAATCCTGAAAGCAGACCAATGAAGAATCAGCTTCACGAGATCGGCTGTTATAGTTTATAATTATTTTGATTATGCAGATAATTTGTTTTAAGCAAGCCTCAAGAAACATCTTGATAACATCCGTTATTCAGTTTCTTCATTATTCTGCATTGTACAAACTAAACTCTTTCATGTTTGTTTATACATAATGTTTATTCTGACTGATTTTGTTTTAATTTTTTTTTTATTCATAAAGGCTTGTATCTTTGCAAAAATGAAAAATTCATAGTATAAAAACAAATACAAAATTCTGTAATGATTGACTCACAGACACAAAATTGTGTTTATTCCATTTTTGATCAATTTATTGATTGTGAAGATAAATCCGTATTAGCATACACAAAACGCTAACTTGGAAACTTTCATAAGCATAATTTTACAAATTTGAAAATCTATTTCAACAGACCTAGAAATTTATTTAACCTCGCCAATAAATAAAATATGGAGTAGTGCTTCCATTTTTCATCTGTAATTAAAGTTAAATTTAGCTTTAAGTTCTATTTCTATTCAGAGGAGATACCTTTCCTTGTTACAAATATATGCGATTGCTTTACAGGGGAGAAAAAAAAATCTTACCTTATTTTCACCTGCCTCTTCTTTTACTGCAAAATAAATAAATAAATTGTATACTCATAAATGCATTAATGTGATTTATATGCTAAACTTACATTGAGGCATAATGGAAGGATAAACTGGTGTATCGTAAAAATGGTTGGAGTCCTTAAACATACAATAAAATTAATACAATGCTAAATATGAAGAACTATTAGAAAATATTGTTTAACGAAGTGGTATGCTTACATTTATATGTTTATTAAAAACCATTGATGCACCTGGAGGCCCAAAAAATTACAGCATTAATAAGATTTTATTATTTTAAATATATCAACAATATAAATTATAATATAAACAAACTTTTTTAATTAAAAACATACATAACATTACAGATTTTTTAGTAAATTATACATTTGAGTGGCTGTAGAATTAAGTTTGGACCAGTTAAATTGTCTAATAGTTAATGCATTTTCTTAATTATTTGAAAAGTTTTAATGAATATTAATATTTAAAAAAAAAATAATATGGATGCAACATGAACGTATACTCCAACAAGAAATAAAAATATTATTTAAATTAATTGAGTCCTTCAAATGTAATTACAAAATACACAACAAAAGCAATTTATTTTATTATAATTATTTTTGTGAAATGTGATGAGATTGAACTAAATAATGAACTTGGAGTTTGATCGTTCCTGATTAATGTCTGCCTATTCTCACCGGTTTTGTCTCTTAATCACATTTAATATTGCAATGCATTCAGTGGTGAAACAATAAGTGAGCGCACTGATCAAAAGTAATGCAAAAAATTTGTTTCTGAGAATGAGAGGATTGAAGATGAACCAGTTTGACAGACGTTCTGTCTTAAACCATTCGCTCCAGCTTCCATCATCTTAGGAATATGTGGAAGATGAGCAAATGCCCTCCTCATAAAATGACAGATGGTAACAAGCATTAGCATCTAAACATTTGCCTTCCACTGCTTTCGTAGTGCAAATTAGACGCTCAACAGGATCTGTACAATAAACCTAGGTTCCAGCATTTTAACATGTCAAGTAAGATAAATTAATAGTTTATACAAATATAATCTAAACAAAAGGATAGATTCGATGTGAAATGCACAGGCTAACCACTAAAGTGAAAACTATATTAAGACATATTTTCACGATTCAACTAAAGTTGAACAAAATCTATCGTGAATACCTTCAGTTCAACTGAGTTGATCAACATTTTAGTTAATCCTGTCAAACTTTTAGTTTATGTCAAGACTTACATTTTTTCAAGTTAAAATATGTGAGCAACTCAGCTGTTTCCTGTTCAACTTTTACACTGGATGAGTGGTGCTGTTATGTTTTTTGTTTATAGAAGAGTTTAAAAAATAAAACAGCCTCAAATAGAGTAGAAGAGAAATTATTAGAATTTTGATATAAGCATTAATGCCTTTGAAATCACCCACTTAAGTACTGTTAAAAATACAGATTTGAGATAAAATGCTGGAAATGGAAATTGCTGGATTCATTATTGCAAAATTAAGACGTTTGCCTAGTCTCAGATACCAGGATACAATGAACTGGACAAATGCACCAGGTATGAAACAAGCTAAAAAAATCATAAATCTCTCAAAAGGGAAGGCGGAGAAAATCCTCTCTCTGCAGGCAGGATTTGAGGAAAATCCTAGGGCTCTTTATTGGCCCTAGCCGCTTAACAATCATCTGACAAAGATGGGCAAAATGTGCATACACACTAAGCGAATCTCAGCTAATGAGCCAACCAATGGCCATCCTCATCAAACCAGAGGGTTGGGTAATTTGGCCATGTGGAACTGCAATCAACAACGTCAATCCTTTTGACATTACCACCAGTAGTCCGAACCCTGACCAAAGCCAACCACTTCATCAGGTCTGATTCGCCTCTACAGAATGTAATAATAACTAGAATGTATACACTAAGCAAATCTCGGCCAATGAAAGCCAACCAATATATCAGACCAAATGTTGGTTGCCAACATATTGGACATCTTCTCCAAAAACCAATGGATTTAGCCATGAGGAATCGCAGTCAACATCACTCCTTTGCGTGTTACCACCAACACGAATCCTTGACCAAAGCCAATCGCTTCAATGGTTCTTATTTACCTCTACACACTAAGCAAATCACGGCCAATGTTTTGACAGTTTATTGTCTTTTGTCAGCCGTGATTTGCTTACTGTCCCACCTAAAGCAGTCAGAAACATGCCATACCTGTCAGATGGAACCGGAAACATCGGCACATATCATTTGTCAATGTGAAGCATTAGGCTGTTTACAGCATAGCCTCTTAAGCATAACATTTCTCATACCAAAGGAGTCCGCCAAGGAAAGATCTTAATCTTACGGGAAAAATCACACTTTCCAAGGTACAGCTATAATTTACAGGGGTTCCACAATATATTTACTTAGTGATTAATTGGAGATCGTGAAATGTGGTCTGGTGTGACGTAGGTTTAGAAAAACATTTTCTTTATCGTGCCAACGTTTCTATCTTTATTGAGATCTTCTTCAGGGCCTGAGATTTATAAACATTGTTTAAATTATACAAATACATGTAGGATGTGAAAAAATGAATTTATACAATGCTAGAAATTTTAGACTCAATAAAAGTATTTGTACTCACTCAAAGTGTTTGTTTTCTGTGTGGATATCATTATTGTGTGTCGTGTTGAGAGTGCCAATGAGATATTGATGTTTTATGTTTATATACGCTGGATTTTGAAGAGGTGGGGAAGGAAGTTGGGATAGAAAGACATTTTTATAAGAGGAGTCGGCTTCTTTGAGGTACAAGGAGCCAACAACGGGGAAAAATGGATAATGGGCCTGATTACCCTTTCAGGATTATATAGATGGGGATAATTAGGGAAAGGAAAGACAAATTGTTGAAGAATTAGACTATGTAGAAATGTTTGATGTGTGGAATGTGATGATGATATATGAAACCTCATATTTTTGGCTTCTTTGAGGTGAAAGGAGCCGGCAATGGGAAAGAATAAGTAATGGTTTTTCTAAACCTACGTCATACCAGACTGCATCTCACAATCTCCAAATAATCATTAACTAACGGTCACTAAACACCACACAAATCTACTTAGGTTGAATTTGAGGAAAGGATTGTCAATTCTATATTAACCTCCTCAACTCTTAAAAAAACATGATCATCCTTGATCGTCCTGGCCAAAGTACCCTAATCGTTTCAGCAATTTGGCATCATATGTTGGTCTCCACTGATTAGCTGAACATTAGAATCTATTTAATGGAAAATAATCGAGGTGAAATTCTTTACTTAAACTGGCGAAATAGGCTGGTTAAGCTTGTAGCAACACGCTTTTCTTAATTATAAAAATAACACACGTTTGGTGGCATAAAGCGTGGTCTTATTTTTACCTTTTTCAGGATTCATTTAAAACAATCATGTTTTTCAAATTGTCTTCTAAGTAGTCATTAGAAAATACACAGTTATTGACTAAAAGCTTATAGCATTTTTATTATGTTGTAAAAATTAAAAAAAGGTTTGATATAGAACAGAGAGAAAACGCACAAATAAAAAAACACAAGAAAATCAATCGTTGTAAAAATCTTGAAAAAACTGACTCACCCTTTGTAGCCATTCAATCAGAGGTGTTTAATTATAATCAAACAATAGACAACAAAGAGAAATGCCGATAAAAATTACAAAGGAAATCAATATAGTTGATTATCTCGGGGCTTATGACAAGGGGGGGGGGTTAAGAAGAAGTATTCAAACAATAAATAGGAGAGAGAAAGAGGGAAAAAACGGCGAAACAAAACAAAACCCCTGGGAATGTAAAATATCTGTTAATTATTAAACGGCATCCGGCTCGTCCACATCAACGAAACGACGGAGCCGAGAGTTAAAAATCCAGTTTGTACTTTGTGGAAGTTATCGGAATAAAAATAATATCGGACAGGGTGAGAACTGAGTCACTGAGAAACCAGCGGACACAACCACAAATGTTCACTAGATCTGTAAGTTTTCCATTCTGACAAAAGGCCGTATCGATTTTAGGCACTGATGAAAATAGGATTAAAGCTTCCTTAAAAAAAAAAATAATAATAAAATAAAAAACTATACATTATACACGCATTAAAAATGGATTGAAAGACAAATAACAATAGGGGGAAAAATCAAATGAAGTAAAACTCAGCGAAACCTTTATTCGACATTAATTCACTTTAAAATCGACACACGAAAAATATTCTTTTATAGCCATCAGAGGCTTTCTTCATTTTTACTTTAATCAGGAACGAAATAAATCATGAAGGTGAACGTTTGTAACTTCATAGCTCAGAGTAAGAAAATCATAGGCGCCGGCTTGAATTTCAAGTAAGTCGCTTCAGTTCGTGAAATAATCCATCTAAGTAGTTGGTTAAACGTTTGGAAAATTTATATTTGGAACGTTCAAGTACATGTTTGTTTCTTTAAAAAAAAATAATAATAATAAAACCTACAGCATACACATCATAGTTGTAATAAGTAATTGTAAGTAATTGGATTGTAAGTAATAAGAGAGCTGGAAACAGCGCTAGAATGCAGCACCAACCCTCTTAAAAAATCATGTTCATCTTGCATACAATGGAATATTTATTAACAAATTAATATCTCAATAGAAATAAAACTTTAATTATTATTAATTAATAGAATCTTATATGTAAATTACTTGTGATTTTTAACTAATTATATCAAAATTTCATTTTCATTCATTCATGATGCTTTGATCATATGCACTGATGATTCCAAAAAAATCACATCACATCAACCCTTTCACATCATCACATCTTGGTTGGGGAGGAACAGCTCTGACATATTTAATTTTGTTTTTTTAAATAAAGTGCCTGATAAAAGGACTACTTTGATAGAGTAGAACATGCGATATAATCGCCTTTATTATAAAGCATAGCTCGCAACTAAGATCTAGGGTTTCAAAGCCCCTCATGCTTTAATAGAACACTTTATAAAAATATATATAAGCAAAATATAAGCTTTTAGGCTCATACCCTAAGTACAGAATTTTAAATATTAAAGTATTATTCTTCACTATAATAATTATAAGAACACTTTTAGTCTTAAGATCAAATAATTGATTTAGAATTTTTTTCTTTTCACCTCAAAGAAACCGACATTATACAAAAATGTCTTTCGATCCCGACTTCCTTCCCCACCCCTTAAAATCCAACGTATATAAACATAAAACACCATTATCTCACTAGCACTCTCAACACGACACACAAGAATGGCACAATTACACAGAAAACAAACACTTTGAGTGAGTAGAAATACTTTGATTGAATATAAAAAATAATTTTTTTGCATTGTATAAATTCACTTTTTTCCACATCCTACATGTTTTTGTTAAATTTAAACAATGTTTGTAAATCCCAGGCCCTGAAGATGATCTCAATAAAGATTGAAACGTTTGCACAATAAAGAAAATGTTTTTCTGAAACCATCACACCAGATCGCATCTCACGATTTATGTATAATCATCGACTAACAGTCACTAATCATCACACATTGATTTAGAATTTGAATAGGATTAGAAAATAATTTAATATCTTTTATTCCGTTAATATTTAACCCTAAAAACAGAATACTCTCTGAAGGATGTATAATATATTTTTTAAATCAAGCTATTAGATCTATATTATTACTTTTTTCTATTTTAATTAAACCTATGCAAATCATTAAATTAATAAATATTGGTTGTTCTTATGTGATTGAGGGTCTCACTCTTCTATTTTTCATTTAGCCTCACTTTTCAGTTCATATAATGCAGAAATATTTGCCATTTTAGCTTTAGATGATCCCTCGTATCATTCAGTATTTTCTGATTCTTATAGTGCACTTTGAGCAATTCAGAACCCGTACTCTAAAAATTCTTAGTTCAGAACATTTGGCAAAACGTTAAAAAAAAAATATAAAAAAAAATCGCTGAACAGCTTTTCTGTTACTTTTGTTTGGGTACCAAGTCATGTCGGGATTAAGGGAGATGAGCTAGCTGACAAGGCGGTGAAAGCTGCATAGAACAATCCCATCATCTCAGTATTAATAAATCATGAATATATAAAGTCTGCTTTCAAACTTAAATTAATTGAAAATTGGGAAAAATCGGAGGAAACAAACCACTCACAATAAATTACGAAATATAAAAGAGAACATTAAACCTTGGGAAACATCCTTCCAAACTTCCAGGCGTGATAAGGTCGTACTATGTCGATTACGTATAGGGCACACAAATATGACCCACAGGCACCTCATGGAAAAACCTATACCACAAACATGCTTTTTTGGTGATCAATTAGACACATACTTGCGCCCCCTCCCTTTTGTCTGAGGTGGGCTCATTAGCCCAAAATCCCCTGGACTATAAAATAATTATTAGGGAATGAACAGAAAAAATTGATCGAGTCTTCGATGAGGTCTAAAAGTCTAAAAATGAGGAATCTCTATAAACTTATATAAATTTCCACAATTTACAATAAAACACTGGTAGTACAAAGGTGATGATAACCTTTGATTTAAAAAAACTCATTTATTTTATTTGGGAGATATTTTAAGCAAGCTGCTATATACTTGACAAATTATTAGTATAATATGTAATTAAATTCACTAATTTCGTGGTCCGCTTGACCAATTATAATATGTAATTATTACAAAACATTTAACATAGTTACAGAACCGAATAGAGGCAAAAAATCCATGAAATATAATATAATAATCCAAACTGCACATACATATATACTGATGGTTATAAAATAGCTGACAGAGTAGGAACTAGGATGTGCCAACACACTAAACAACCAACCCTACTCATTCCTGCTACCATCAATCTTTAGCACATACAGCTAAAGAGCTGATGGTGATTAGAAGGGTGCTGGATAGATTAGGAATGATTGGAAACAATTTCATATTTTCTGAATGTTACAGCGCCCTTCAATTGATTCAAGATCCTTATTCAAAAAATGCAATCATTTAGAAAATATGGGAATCTATTAGCCAGAACAAAAAAAATTGTGTTATTCTGTTGGATCCCTAGCCATGCAGGTGTAAAAGGCAATGAATTGGCAGACAGTGGAGCAAAATCTGTACACAATTTATCAGTAACCCCAGATTTAATGCTATACCAAAATATCCTTTGTGCTTTTAAAAGATTCTCTGTAGCAAATTGGGATATAAAATGGGAAAACATAGAAGATAAAAAACTAAGAGTTACAAAAAGCACACCGTGGAACACATCAAGCCAAAACAAATTTAGGGATTGAAATTGTAATGTGCAGAATACGAATAGGCCACAGTTACACTACACATGGCTACTTAATGGACTACAGTACCCCTCCTTATTTTCAATGTAGAGAGGTATTAAGGCCTCTTTCAGGCTCAATAGGTTTCTAAAACCTATTAGGCAGATGGATAATATTTCACTTACAGTTAGATTGTACAGTTGAACCTCTTTCAATAGATAGATTCATAAAGCTTTAAAAACATGTAAACTTAATAAAAATACTAGTAAAAATAATTGTTGCCAAAAACAAAACAGTCTGTTAAATAGTGCAAACAAAGATAAATTTAAGTAAAGCTTTTTTTTTTAATCATCGGATGATAAAAATTCTTTAGATACGTAGAATTTTTTTTCTGATTGTTAGTTTGAACGATAAAATCTTCATGGCAAATCACCATTCTGCAGCCTGAACTTACATAACAATGGGACCAACTTTTAATGTCTTGAATTTTATACAAAATAGAAAAAAAATTCTAGGAGCGCGTCTTAATTATATGTAAGTAGATGAAATTAAAATCCCAGATCAAGTCCAAATATGAATTTTTACAAGGTCGTGTGGTAGTTGAAAAAACATGTGTATTTTTCAACATTATTACAATCTATTTAGGAATATTAAAGCACTGGAACCAGGAAGTGTCTATCTGTTGAACACAAATAAATGTTTATTTAATTTTTTAGGTCCGTAGCCAAAGAAAAAGGAATCCCATTACCCACAGAACCAGTGTTGTTTCTCAAGCCAACCTCTTCTTTCATACAAGAGGATAAAGACATAGAGGTAACATAGCTACGTATACATGGTAGTATAACTATCAAAAATTCTACTTAAAATTTATTGTTTAAATTTATTTTTTATTAAAATGTATTAATTATTACACATGCATTTTAAGATATTAATAAAAAGTAAATTATTGTAATAACCATAATTTTAGTTTTCATCCAAAGTCTTGGTTGAGGTAGAAAGTATAATTAATTGAATAGGTCTTATAACTACTGAACATATATGGATTAATATAATAATGATAATTTTGTCTTTTCAGATTCCACCTAATTATGAGGTCAACCATGAAGTTGAACTTGGCGTCATAATTGGCAAAAAAGGTAAAAACATCCCACGAGATGAAGTACCCAATTATATTGGTGGATACTGCTTGGCTTTGGATCTGACTGCAATGAATAAATTGGTAATAAAATGACAGAACTGTTACAACCAAAAATTAATCACTGTCTCATTTAGCAAGAGGCGTGGAAACAAGCGTTGCCCTGGACGATGAGCAAAAGTTTCGACACTGCTTGTCCAGTGAGCAAGGCTATTTCAAGAGAATGTCTACCCTGCCCTGACAAAGTTACACTCTGGCTCAAAGTCAACGGTACGATGAAGCAAGAGGGAAACACAAGTGATATGGTGTTTCCTATTTCTGACCTGGTATCTTACATTTCAAAAACCATAACGCTCGAGCCTTACGATGTAATCCTGACAGGAACACCGGCCGGGGTGGGTCCCATTAAAAGTGGTGACACCGTCTGTGCGGGTCTTAACAATTTAATCAGTATGAAATTTTTGGTCAAATAACTTAAGTTGGTTACTTTTGAGTTGTTTGATGTAATTATATAAGAGTCGTTTAAATACTGGTGATTACATCGTTCAAAATAACTTACTGGAGGTTTTACTGTTGTCATCAAACATCCTAGAAGATAACATAAAACTCACATATCAAATAAATTCATGTCATTAAATATATCATAGTTAGATTTAAAAATAAATTTACTTTATGAATTTATAAACAAATTAAGTAATCATAACCCTTTTTTCACTCTTTTAAAAAGCTCTAATTATGTAACTACATTATGCTCATGTTAAACTTTTCAAATTTTATTCTTTTTAAATATATTATTACATATAAAATAACAATTAATATATTATAATAGAAAAATGGTTACTTTGTTTTGACTTAAATTCCCTTTCGGGTAAAGATCTGAGGTCCGAGTGTCTGTTTGTGATAAGGCTGGATGTATCTTGTTTGGCTTATTTTTCAAAAAATGAAAGTGCATTTGGAAAAAGCTTCGTAGGCTTTACTGTCAAGCAGTAGTTTGTTAGTGTGTAGATCAAGTCTTTTAAGGAACTTGCTGAACTTTAGAGCGCAGCACTCATCCATACAGTTAGCTTCTTGACTAATGCCAGCACTGTCATATATGCTTGTGTGACATTTTCCGAGGATTTGACCTCCAGGAAAATACTGGGAATGGAACTTGAACTATGAAATTTCTAGGTTCTTTTAGATACAATCTTGCAGTAAAATCAGCATTGCTTATTTTGTTCAAGTTCTTGAAACTAGAGTGAGATAGTTTTCATCTTGTCTTTTTGGATGGCTCCAATACAACACATTATTTTTTTTTTTAACAATTATTTGAAGAAAGAAAAGAGCACAACCGCTGTTCTGAATCAAAAATTGTTTTACATTTAAAGCTATAAAATTGAATAAAGAAGAATTGAACAAAGCTATAGGACTTTGTTCGAGTCAAATATATCAGGAGCTTGCCAGTGTTCTCTAAGAGATAAAACTATTTGTTATAGTTTATATCAACTTAGAGAGATGTGGAAGCTGAGCAAGTTGGTTCCTCATAAATTGACCGACAGCAACAAACTTCAGCATCTAAACATTTCCTTTCTTGCTTTCACAGCACAAAGTTAAGATGTTTTTGCCTGGATTGTCGCAAACAAATAAAAAATTCCTTTACAGGTAACACCAAGAAGTTATACTCATGACCCTCTTCCATTGACGAGTAAACCGAGTATTTACCAACAAAAGGTGATAACTTTTGTACTATGTGATTAGTTTGGTACATTTTGAAACATTTTGAACCACTTTTGGGCAGTACGCTCACTTGTTTCCTAACCGAATGCAGTGCAAATTTTAGAATCTGCATCGGTTAGTACCAAGCTAAAATTTATACAATAAGCTTGCACGAATTATGGGTTTTGTAGACTTGAGAAAGAAAATGCTTTATAATTTACAGTGAACTGTTCAAGATACTTTTCATTTATGAACTGTATCATGGTGTACATGATGTTAACCCCTAATCTTCCTATGTAAATAGAAATATCGATTAATGATATTAAAACAATAACAATTGCAAAACCACACATTTTCTGGTTACTTGGTATATATTAAACAAATATGACTTTGATATACAGTACAAAGTTTCTTTTCTTTGGCTAGTCAAATGTATTAAATAAATATATTAAAATTCAAACCCGACATACGTACAAATGGGCTTTTTTTCAAAAACACTGCCACCCTGAGTGTTCATATGACCCCTGTTACTTGGTATATATTAAACAAATTTGACTTTGATATATTAAAAAAAGAAGTAATTATTTGATAATGTTTCTTTTCTTTGTATAGTCAAATGTATTAAATAAATATATTATTAATAATTGTTTCATTTTGAAAAAACTGTAGTTAAAAAAACAACAAGAGAGTGCGACCACTGTTTTGACTTTAAAAAGTTTTAATAAGGAATGTAAATATATGTAAAACCATAAAAACTGTGAACTATATATTTAGTTCAATTTATTTTTCTTTAATATATTAAATACATACTTTTTTTGTTAATATGTGATGCAAAATCTAGTTCTAATGATATAAATTATTTTCACTGTTCCATATAACATTTCACATTCAAGCTTAAAATACAATTTAAAAAGTCCATTAACAGGAACAGAAGCTTAAATGCTTAAAATACGCCTTTTTTTTGTTTAAAAAATATCTTTTGCTCTTCTTTCATCCATGCAGGCAGGCCTAAATATTCTCTTAGTTCAATATCCGGCAATTAATACATATTTTTTACGAAAATAATATTATACCCAACTTTTTTTAAATTTCCTTTGTTTACAAATAGTAGGAGGTACTTTAACATACATGCACAGCAAATACAGCCTTATAAATAATTTTTGAAAAAGCTCACAATAAATATTTTATTTCTTTTTTAAATTTTTTTTATTTTATATTGCGCCTTGAGTTAACTAGGTATTTCACTACAGTATTCAATTAGGTTTTTTTATGGACAAATAAAAAATTTTTATTACTCTTTATACTTTATCATATTCACATTAAAACATACAATTTTCAAGTGACTCATCAAACAATATTTGTTATATAAACGACACATACAATATATAGAGAAATATGTTTACACTTGTTATTGTATTGAGCAATACAAATTTAGAAATAGTAAGTAGTCATAAACATCATATTTACAAAGCAAAACAATTTATAATACAAAGTATAACAAAAACATAAAAATTGCCTATTTCAATTCTTATGTAGTTAAAGACATTTATATATCTATTACAAAATTTGAATTTTTAATCGAAACAAATGAGATTCTTTTTTATTATTAGTAAATCTTAAAATAATAAAAAAGACCAAGTTAATACCCATTTTGTACCGAGCTAATAAGCATTGAGCATATTTCACAATGCAGAAAACTAGAAGCCTGCTGGATGAGCTATGGAGTTCCTACTGACCAAGCATTACCACTACTTTTAACTATGTGTTGTATTTTCTGTGTTAGTGTGAGTAAATTGTTAGTGCGGATGAGAGAAGAATCCCCCTCCAAGTAATATCAAGTGCTCTGGGGTGAAGGTGTAATGTCTGGAGGACCAAAGTTAGTGTGATGGTTAGTTTAAACCCTAGGGGAGTGAATGTGGCCAGTCGTCTTGTGTTGAGAGGTGAAGTAAAACCAGCGTTGTCGGAATATCCAGTCACAACATCAGACATGTGCTTTTGTTTCTCTCGTTGGGGAACTGCAGCATCTTTTAAAGGCATAGCATACTGGGATATTGCATGGAGACGCTGGGCTAAGCATGGGGAAGCAGGGAGTTATGTGTTATGGCTACATGTCATCTTGCTTTTTCAATATTAATTTGCTAACCTGAGGTTATGAGAGGTTAGAAAATTGAGCAAACAAGATTTTAAAAAATGTGCAGCAATGAGAAAGATCCAGAAAAGAAAGAAAATGTTTGTATTATGCGCAAAGGGTCAATGATGGCCACTAAATGTTTGTCAGCCCATAAATAATATATTGTACTACTATAACCATATTTATGAATAAAGCTTGCTCTTTATTATGAAAATCATCCTAGAGTCACAAAATCATTGGCATATAGAGCCCCTCCCCCAAGTACCTCACAGAAGTCATTTAGATTATGTTATTAAACAAATAGACAAAAGAATCATACCAAAACGTCCCCCTTGCCTACTCCCTGAAGTAAAATTCAACTATTTGTTATATAAATACACAAAGCAAGATACAAGTTATACCAAATATAGGCAAAAAATCCTTGAAATATTATATAATAACCCAATAGCTGGCCGAGTACGAACTAGGATGTGCCTACACACTGAACAACCAACCCAATTCATTCCTGCTATCATCACTCTTTTGCACATACAGTGTTGAGCTGATGGTGATTAGAAGAGTGCTAGATGGATTAGGAATGATTGGAAACAATTTCATAATATTTTCTGCCTGTTATAGCGCCCTTCAATTGATTCAAGATACTTACTGAAAAAATGCAATAGTTCAGAAAATATGGGAATCTATTACCAGTTTAGCCAGGACAAAAAAATTTGTGTTATTCTATTGGATCCCAAGCCATGTAGGTATAAAAGGCAATGAATTGGCAGACAGTAGAGCAAAATCTGCACACAATTTATCAGTAACCCCAGATTTAATGCTATACCAAGATATCCTTTGTGCTTTTAAAAGATTCTCTGTAGCAAATGGGCATATAAAATGGGAAACCATAGAAGATAATAAACTAAGAACTATAAAAAGCATACTTAAACCATGGAAAACATCAAGCCAAAACAAACTTAGGGATGGAAGTTGTGATCTGCAGATTATGAATAGATCAAAGTTACATGGCTATTTAATGGACTACCTCCTTGTTGTCAATGTGGAGAAGTATAAGGCCTCTTTCAGACGCGGCGGGGCAACTAGTTGAACGGACGGGTGTCAAGGAGTGTGTAACCTGGTAGCAAAATGTTTGGGAATCGCCCCAGCCACTTCACACACAATTAACTCGTCTGCCCAGGCGACACACACTTTTCACAAGTGCCTGTCGTGTTATCATCCCCACTGCTTGACTCAACTCAAAAGAGATTGCTCGGCATTCATCCTTCACACCAGTTGCTTAATTGAGTCAACTAAGTTGACCATTTAAAGTGTTGCAATTGCAAGTTTCAACGTGGAGCAATTCATTGAAGACATTCGAGTTAGACCTGTGATATGGGACTTGAGGTGTGAGGGGTGAGGAGGAACAAAATTATAAGAAGCAAAGCTTGGAGGGAAGTAGCACAACAGTGTTTGAGAGAAAGATTTCCCAATTTTATAACAATGGATAAAACCACACTTTTCTTTACTGGGTTTCCTCCTTTTTTGCTTCTCCTTTTGCAGAAGACCAAGCACAAGAAGTGCTCCTGCTTCCTCAAATTCTAACATCATACTGACCTCCCGTTGAGAAGAGAGGTTGATACCACAAGTTACCTGGTGTGAAACCAACAAAGAAGAGTTTTCACATGGCAGTAAACTAGTTGAGAGTCAACCGGGCAACTCAGTAGAATCAACCAAACCACCTCGTTTGAAAGAGGTCTGAGTGTCAAGCATTTGTTGTCCTCGCCAAATACGTGTCCAACTTACTCCCTCGTTCTTTACCAATATCTTAGGGGATGACCAATATACCAAGAATAAAGTTATAGAAAAAAAAAAAGTGATGGCTCTGAGGGTTTGGCTGTTGGCAGTGCAGGCAGATCCTCGCCCCCCAAACAGTGCTAGAAAAACACTAAATTAAAGTTCAAAAACTGGGTCTTGCACGGCGCCATTTTTTTCCAGTCCCTTTTTAGGGCTCTCTCGGATGTTGCTTCATTTGGGGTGCAGCCACATGAAGTGCTGACAAAACCAATCATGAAATAGCTAGCAAATAAACGAAATGACTAAATTGAAAAAGAAAAAAGGGAATTAATTAATTTAATCAGGGGAAAGAAAAAAAGAAATAAATAAGAAAGAGTAATGAATTTTAAATAAATAAAATACGCAAGCAAATAAAAGGCAATGATAACATAGTAGTTTATCGCCTATAAAAAGGAAGGGCAAAATGTCATTCTTTTTCCAAATTATAAAAAAAATTAAATTAAAAATTAATTAATTAAAAACCTATTAGACAGATGGATAATATTTCTTTTACAGTTAGATTGTACAGTTGAATCTCTTTCAATAGATAGGCTCATAAAGCTTTAAAAGCATTTACCCTTAAGAAAAATACTAAGAAAACAATTATTCACAAAAACAAAACAGAATTGGGCTGTTAAATGTGGCAAATAAAAAGATAAATTTAAATAAAGCTTTTTTTATCATCATTTGATAAAAATTCTCTAGATATGTAGAATTTTTTTTATGATTGTCAGTTCAAACGATAAGACCTTCATGGCAAATCACCATTCTGCAGCCTGAACTTACATAACAATGGGACCAACTTTTAATGTGTTGAATTTTGTACAAAATAGCAAAAAAATCATAGGAGCGGGTCTTAATTATATGTAAGTAGATGAAATTAAAGCTTTCAAGTACTGGATCAAGTCCAAATATGAATTTTTACAAGGTCGTGTGGTAGTTTGAAAAACATGTGTATTTTTCAAGATTATTACAATCTATTTAGGAAATATTTAACCACAAGAACAAGGAAGTGTCTATCTGNAAAAGCTTCGTAGGCTTTACTGTCAAGCAGTAGTTTGTTATTGTTTAGATCAAGTATTTTCAAATAACTGGTTGAACTTTAGGGAGCAGCTCTCCTCCGTACGGTGAGCTTCTTGGCTAATGTCTGATATGCATGTGTGACGTTTTCCTAGGATGTGACCTCCAGGGAAATACACTGGGAATGGTACTTGAACTATGAAATTTCTAGGTTCTCCCAGATGTACAATCTTGCAGTAAAATCAACATCGCTTATTTTGTTCAAGTTCTTGAAACTAGAGTGAGATAGTTTTCATCTTGCCTTTTTGGATGGACTTAATACAACACATTAATTTTTTAAACAATTATTTGAAAAAACAAGAGCGCAACTGCTGTTCTGAATCAAAAATTGTTTTAATTAGGAATGTAGGGGGGGGGAGCGCCAGTGGCTGCAACAGTTTAGGCGTTGACATGGCACTCACCACTGTAAGGTAAAGGTCCACGGTTCAAACCCGACATACGTACAAATGGGCTTTTTTTCAAAAACACTGCCACCCTGAGTGTTCATTTGACCCCTGTTACTTGGTATATATTAAACAAATTTGACTTTGATATATTAAAAAAAGAAGTAATTATTTGATAATGTTTCTTTTCTTTGTATAGTCAAATGTATTAAATAAATATATTATTAATAATTGTTTCATTTTGAAAAAACTGTAGTTAAAAAAACAACAAGAGAGTGCGACCACTGTTTTGACTTTAAAAAGTTTTAATAAGGAATGTAAATATATGTAAAACCATAAAAACTGTGAACTATATATTTAGTTCAATTTATTTTTCTTTAATATATTAAATACATACTTTTTTTGTTAATATGTGATGCAAAATCTAGTTCTAATGATATAAATTATTTTCACTGTTCCATATAACATTTCACATTCAAGCTTAAAATACAATTTAAAAAGTCCATTAACAGGAACAGAAGCTTTGTAATGCTTAAAATACGCCTTTTTTTTGTTTAAAAAATATCTTTTGCTCTTCTTTCATCCATGCAGGCAGGCCTAAATATTCTCTTATTTCTATTAGCTGGCAATTAATACATATTTTTTTATGAAAATAATAATATACCCAACTTTTTTTTAAAATTTCCTTTGTTTACAAATAGTAGGTGGTACTATAACATACATGCACAGCAAATACAGCCTTATAAATAATTTTTGAAAAAGCTCACAATAAATATTTTATTGCTTTTTTAAATTTTTTTAAATTTTATATTGCGCCTTGAGTTAGCTAGGTATTTCACTACAGTATTCAATTAGGTTTTTTTTATGAACAAATACAAAAATTTTATAACTCTTTACACTTTATCATATTCACATTAAAACATACAATTTTCAAGTGACTCATCAAACAATATTTGTTATATAAACGACACGTATAATATATAGAGAAATACGTTTACACATTGTTATTGTATTGAGCAATACAAATTTAGAAATAGTAAGTAGTCATAAACATCATATTTACAAAGCAAAACAATTTGTAATAAAAAAGTATAATAAAAAACATAAAAATTGCCTATTTCAATTCTTATGCGGTTAAAAACATTTATATATCTATTACAAAATTTGAATTTTTAATCCAAACAAATGAGATTCTTTTTTATTATTGATAAATCCAGTTATTTGGTAAAATTTTCATTAACATTAGGTAAAAACGTAATACTTGAAATTAGTTCTCTTTCTCCCATTTTATAAATCATTCCCATACATGCATTGTTGATAAATTTTGAAGAATATAGAGTTTAATACATCTTTCTGATTAATTTTAAATATAATTTTATGAAATCCCAAATATTGTTTTTTGTTTTAATACAGTGATATTAAAGACGATATAACAATCTATAGCTTTAAATATTTTCAAAAGGACAAAGTAAGAGGGAATGAGGGAGTGGTAATAGTGAGAAAAAAGAAGCACTCATTCCATTCTTTTTCCTATACAAAAATTTCGAAGGACTGAAATATTTTTTTAAAAATTTTGTCAGGAGTTGGGGCTTGACATGATTTCTACGTCTCTATTATTTAAAAAATTTACAAAATAAAATAAGTCTTCAACGACTTAATTAGTTTGGTAAACATAAATATTATTTAAATACAAATAAATATTTTTAAAAACTGTCTTTTACCTCAACTTCATTAAAATTTGTAACCAATATTTACAAGATCAAGACTTATTTTTAAAAATTGACAAATATAAGGGGGTCAAATATTATGGCCAGTTGATGTAAAACATACATGCAAAAAAAGCAAACATAAAAAGCCACCTGTCAGTTGGCTTTTTTTATGAGGGCATATCGCAAAGTGATAAAGTTAAATTCAATAAAGGACAAGCTTTTCTACTTATAAACATGAAATATATCGTAGGAAATGAAATATTATTTAAAAAATAAAATTATTCAACTCCTCTTAGACCATCTATGGGCATAGAATGAAGAACTTCATCAAGAAGCTGCAGAGCTCGATGTAAATGAACCTTAAAAACAAACAAAAAGTATAAATATAATAAAACCCCTTTTTAATATTTAAATGTAATATTTATTGTTTATATTTACATATTTTTAAAACAATTTATGGCAAGTGAACATATTACTAAATCAATATTTATAAGATGATTATTCAGAGATCGTGAGATGCGGTCTGGTGTGACATAGGTTTCAGAAAAACATTTTCTTTATCGTGCCAACGTTTCGATCTTTATTGAGTTCATCTTCAGGGCCTGGGATTTACAAACATTGTTTACATTTAACAAATACATGTAGGATGTGGAAAAAAGTGAATTTATACGATGCAAAAAATATTTTTTATATTAAATCAAAGTATTTCTACTCTTTTTTTTATACTTGATTGAATATAGAAAATATTTTTTGCATTGTATAAATTCACTTTTTTCCACATCGTACATGTATTTGTTAAATTTAAACAATGTTTGTAAATCCCGGGCCCTAAAGATGATCTCAATAAAGATTGAAACATTGGCACGATAATTTTTTTAAAAAATATTAAATCAAAGTATTTCTACTCTTTTTTTTAATACTTTTATTGAATATAAAAAATATTTTTTACTTTGTATAAATTCACTTTTTTCCACATCATGCATGAATTTGTTAAATGTAAACAATGTTTGTAAATCCCAGGCCCTGAAGACGATCTCAATAAAGATCGAAACATTGGCACGATAAAAAAAAATTTTTTTATATTACATCAAAGTATTTCTACTCTTTTTTTTAATACTTTGATTGAATATAAAAATATTTTTTTGCATTGTATAAATTCACTTTTTTCCACATCCTACAAGTATTTGTTAAATTTAAACAATGTTTGTAAATCCCAGGCCCTGAACTTACATCACACCAGACCGCATCTCACGATTTCTGAATAATCATCGACTAACGGTCACTAATCACTACACAAATATTTATAAGGGTGGGGCTAGATCAAAGGGACTTCAACTTCGACCTTCCTACCTCACACTGAGCATAAACATCACAGACTAAAAACCTTCATAATATGCACAAATTCATTCACTGTGTCTTAGAACCAGGTAAAGAAGGGAAAGGGCCATACTAATGAGATTAAGCATAGGCTATACAAGGCTTAGACCCTAGAGACATAAGGATACCGAGCATGAAGAAGCGAAGTGACTAGCGTGACTTCATCATTGCTCCCCATCCTCTCCACCCATTAGATGTTATAAGATTCATGACAAATACCAAAAGAGAAAAATGGGAAATCGCTGGGAACATTTTTCTGCCAAATAATGAGGCAAATGGACTAGCATTGGTCCTTTGTCCATGGAAACCAGGTTGAGAAGGGAAAGGGCCATAATAACAAGGTTATACAAGCCATACTAGGTTTATGCATGGACACTTGCTGGCCAGAAAGAGACCTCATTAGTGCCTATTATGTACTGAGCAAATAAGCATTTAGACATATTACTAAATCAGTGTTTATAAGGGGAGGGAGTCAGATCAAAGGGACTTCAACTTCAATCCCTCCTTGTTTTCATATATGAACAAATTCGCTCAGTTGGTCCCAAGAAAAAAGCCTCCATGTTTCCAACAATAAATAAAATAGACAAACAGCCAAAAGGGATCGATGCCAATGGGAAAAAGATTGTGCTGGTCTGAATTCCTAGACATATAAGGATAGTTGCTAGGGATAGCTGGGACTGAAGCAGCAGACAAAGTGGCTGATGAGGGTGCATTAGTGCATGGCTCACACCCCATCCTCTCCGGCCAGCAAACATTATAAGATTAATGACAAAATAAATGAGGAAATCGCTAAGACAGACTTCTGCCAAATTATAGCAGATAAAGATTGGCATTGGTCCCTGGTCCAAAGAGGTCAGTTCGAGAAGGGAAAGGGCCATACTAGGCTTTCACACGGGCACTTCTGGCTGAAAAAAGACCACATTAATACCCATTATGTAGCTAATAAGCATTGAGCATATTTTACAATGCAGAAAACTAGAAGCCTGCTGGATGAGCTATGGAGTTCCTACTGACCAAGCATGGCACATCAACGAGCACAGTTGATTATTTCAGTACCTCGGGATTATAACTTTTTTTAAATGTATGTGTTGTATTTTCGTGTTAGTAATAAATTGTTAGTGTGGGTGAGAGGAGAATCCCCACTTCAAGTAATATCAAGTACTCTGGGGTGAAGGTGTAATGTCTTCAGGACCAAAGTTAGTGTGATGGTTAGTTTAAACCCTAGGGGAGTGAATGTGGACAGTCGTCTTGTGTTGGGAGGTGAATTAAAACCAGCGTTGTCGGAATATCCAGTATCAGTATCACAGGGGACTGCAGCGTCTTTTAGAGGCATAGCATACTGGGACATTGCATGGAGGTGCTGGGCTAAGCATGGGGAAGCAGGGGTTATGTGTTATGGCTACATGTCATCTTGCTCTTTCAATAGTAATTTGATAACCTGAGGTAATGAGAGGTTAGCAAGTTGAGCAAACAGGATTTAAAAAAAAAAAAAGTGCGGCAGTGAGAAAGATCTGGAATAGAAAGAAAAATTGTGCGTCATGTGCAAAGGGTCAATGATGGCCACTAAATGTTTGTCAGCCTATAAATAATAATAAACTATAACTACTACTATAACCATAATTGTAAATAAAGTTTGCTAGCAATGCAGTAATATCAATATTTTCAATTTACTTACTTCGATCCAACAAGGTGTTTCTTTAATTGACTGCCTAGGATAATCCGGTCCCCAGCCTTTTACAAAACTCAACCGTAGGATGCACAGCCTTCTTAAATCATCAACTCCAATACATGCCGAGGCGCTTAAACCTTTTCAAATAAGGATATTTTATTAATTAATTATTAAAAGAAAATGTATATTCAAAAGAAATCAAATTCATTTTTTTGTTATGTAATACTCACTGATAGCAGGAGCAATTCCACCGACGCTGTGTGGTCCGGGGATGTGCCCTGCAACAGCTGCAGCTTGAGCAGCAGCTGCCGCCTGAGCCGTGGCGGCTTGCTGTTGCATCTGACTATGGCATTGCCTCAGGTCAAAGACTTTGATGTAGGCAGAAGGGTAGATTTTATGCACGGCATCTCCAGGCGATCGCCCGGCTTCCCTGTCTAAGTAGTACGACTGTACAAAAACTGAGTGATCACTAAGACACCTCAGCCAGACATCCCCTTCCCCGCGTAGGTCCAATTGTACACCTTTACCTATATGCAGTCTTTGAAAGAAAAAAGTGTTTTCAGTAAACTTAGTATATTTTATTACCCTGTTGAGTATCTAAGTGTCTTATCCGTACTAAATGCAAAAATAAAAAGAATAAACATCCAACATGATTCTAATAACTGATGTAATTTATAACTGCTTTTTACAAATTATGATTTTTTTTTTTTTTCAATTTGTAATATATTTAATGATTGTCAATGGGATTGTAAATTTATTCTCACAATGCTTAGAAATTTTTTGTAGTTACCTTGCTCGCTCACTCTGTTCAGTACGATGAACGTTACTAAGAGCTCCAAGGCAAAATCTATTTGCCCCAGAAGGATCGACATAACCATCAACTGTAACATTTGGACAAGAAGAAGAGACTTTGAAAGTTTCGCCGACTTGAGTGTCCAATTCAAAATAGGCGATTGAACACCAGTATTCAGGAGCCGGTTGGTTTGAAAGTAATCCACCACTGACTCCCATTTCGGACCCAACTCCATGACCCCCTAGATAATAATTAGGTTAGTATTTTGAAAATATTTCCAAAAATTGAAATGCACAAACAGTATGTTCCATGGTGTTGAGGCGGCGGCTGCATGCTCTGGGTGTACGTCAACGTGTAGCCACTCCAGGCCGCTTGACTGCCAGTATTGAAAGTGTCTGGCTGTTGGCCTTGTGGAGGTGGTGCAGGGCTTTGGGCCGACGTCGAGAGCGTTGTCACGCCTTGCGGCTGGGCGCTGCTCACAACAGGTACACTTGCAGTACCCGTAGCCGTACTGATGGGACTAGCACCACTTTCCGCTACTAGCGTCACTGCTAAAAATTGAACCGAATGTATTTCAAATATGGTTATCATTATACAAAAAATGACTAACAAAGAGTGGTTTCCTGAGAATCAATTGACTGCTGAGGTATACTCGTGTAGAATGTTTGTTGAGATCCTTGTTGATTTTCTGTAGGGGATACCATACCAGTTGGAGAAGACTGTACAACAGGGCTAGGTGCTGATCCACTTGTCCCTGAAAGATTATTATCGAATGTGAAAATGAATAATAAAACAAATATATAATTATTTAAGCATATCTATTTTAGTGTTAATGTCTAATTTTCCCCACCCTTCCTTTCATAAATTTCCCTTTTATTGTTAGTAGAAAACAAAAACAAACACTTTGATAACGAGTATTGGAATAATACACCCCTCCCCCCCTAGAGTTTATAAATTACTTATAATGGACTATTGATACTTTATTACAGGATATTTGCAATACTTATATAATCAGAAAATTCATTGACAATCTTACAGAACATTTTATTATGACAAACTTTAACCAAAATTAATGATTCACTAAAAATAGAACAAAACATATAAAAACATATATCCCTCTAAATGATCTTTAATATCATTTGAGGATTGAAACAATTATCACAATTTTACAAGAAACTGCGATGGTTAATGTAAAATATTATGGTCATTTATATTTAAATTCTTTTATTTATTGTGACGATGCAACAGTTACTTTATGTTGACCGATCGACACTGATCACTTTGCTGGGTCTTTCTTTTCTTGCTGATTTACATTTTACTCATACACATTTCTGCCACTATGTTTATAATTAAAGATAGCATGAAGCTAAAATATGCATAAATGAAATATAATCCAGCGAGAATAGACAGACTCAGTTAAGCGATCAGTGTAGATCATTTCAACATGCGTCCAACCAACACTACAAACATACTTTAACTTATAGATTATGATACAAATGAATACTGTTTGTACATTGTTAGTATTTTCAACTCCAAGTTAAGCTAATTAACACTGAATCATCAAAGGTAATTTTTAGAAAATTAAGAAAAAATAATTATCTTAAAATATTTAACACTTAAATTGGTACAAAATGTTTACAATGATTTGAACTTTGCTTCTTTTATTTGGAAACTTAGGCCCAAAACACATTGGACTGTCTCAGGCTGGAGGATGCTCCAGGATGTTTGAAGCCAACGTGACTGTTTTAGTAAGGTTCAAGTGGAGACAAACCACACCGGCCAAGTCAAACTTCAGTCTGTTCCAAGCAAAATGATTGCCTGGTGTTGTTTGATAAACGGTTTGCTTCAAACATTACCAACAAAAGTAACATATACTATGCATTTTTCTAAGTCCCACATCTCATTTTTTGTCTCATATTTTTAAAGAAATGACCGGCTGTTACTATTGACATGGTTGCAAACCTAATGATTCATTTTCAGTATCCAGAATAAAGTTAAAAGAGACAGTAAACTCCAAATTGACTTGGTTGATTTTTTTGACAATTAATTGACTTGAGTGATTGTTTTGACAATCAATTGACAAATTGATTTTTTAAGAATTTAACCCTAACCATCCCCAAATTGACATTTTTGAAAAGTTTTATGACAGATAAATTATCAGATGTGAGGAAGAATTTAATAAATTGGAAGATCAAAGCAAGTATGATGTGACCCTTTTAAAATAATTCATTGAATAGCACCAGTTCATCAGCCAACAATTAATTATAACAAAATATTGAGTGCACACATATATAAATTGTAATTTGTCACATAATCACACAAAAACTTCACTACTGACTAAACAGGTTTGTCGTTCCAGTTATATTGTTCAGGTTAGATTCAAACAACTTGACTTATCCGGTGTGTTTTAGGCCTTAAGATGCATGGGACAAAACAGTGCAAATCCAAGAGAAAAAAACAAAAAACTAAAAACTGCAATAATTTCAAAATCAAGAAATCTAACAAATAGCATAACATGAAATGTAATGTGTCTTTCATGCTTTATTCAAAACAAAACTTAAAACAATTAAAACGATGGGTGGATGGAATGTTAAACGTACCTTGAACAACAGGAGAGGTGATGGATAAATAATACTTAAAAAACATTTTATCACTTATTACTCAAATATTGGACCTTTGACTTACTGTGAATTTGCGAATGTTGAGGTGCCCACTGTGGTCTTATATCCACTTGTGGTCTAGGAGGTCTCGAGTCTATTTTTCCCATGTAGCTGCTTCCTGGACTGCTGACTCCACTTGTTCCACCTTCCCCAACATTTACTAAACCTGCATGCACAATCCACAACACCCAATTGTGTAAAAGAAAAAAAAAGGAAAAAAGAACTGTTGACATCAGTACTAAGCAGTGAAAAGTGGTTTTAACTGTAGAGCGCTAATGTTAGCAATATAGTTATATTTTATAAATGCGAAACTCACTTAAAACTGCTGATATACTTACCTTTCTCTATTGAACTAGAGCTTAGTTAACATAAAATTCATTACAATTAAGCTTTATCTAGTATAAAGAGCCGACTTAATTACTGTGAAAAAAAATGTTTATGCTTTATGAAACAAGTGAAAAGGAGAATCAAATGTGTGCATAAATATTCTTTTGCAACCATGCAAGTGTGATAGGCTAAAAGAATAAAGAAATGTGATATAAATATAAAACTATACACTAAATGTACACAAAATACAGGCGAAAAATCAATTTGAACAACCGACCTTGCATGGGGTGCGAGTGATACTGCATCTGCTGTGGAGCATGGTGCTGGACCGTGGCCTGATCTTGATCGACTTCGATTGCCCCTGGGACGACACTGTATTCATCTTTCACTCGGTTCGGCCCAGACTGAAGGCTCAGACCTGACAGGTCTGTTGGACAACACTCAACGATATTAGACATAATTCAACAATTTTAACACATAATAATAGAGATAGAGACAATCGTAGTTGCCGCATCTGTACTAACATGCAAATTGGGGTTCTAAATGTGTACACTCAGTGGCAGTTAAGATGGTAAATTCTAATGATTATCAATAGAAAATATATTTTTTGTTTGTTAACCAAATAAAAATGTTTTTAAAAAGAAATGCCATATTTTTACACACATCTGAAGTTTGTCTATTTTTTTAGTGTGGACAGTGTAACCATAAAATAAAAACTATAATAAAATTATAATTCATAAACTATACAGAAAATATATTTGTATAGTCTATTTATTTCTGAAAATATCAACAATTACGTACAATGTAAGATGTTGATCTGGTGTATACATGTGTTGTAACAGTTTTCAATTCCACAAACCTGCATCAACAAATATAATGCACTCCTGAGGATGGCTTTATAAAAGGCTGAAAGCGTGGCAAGTGATTGCAGTTTTTTTCTTCTGCACCAGATCAACATCTTACACTAATACCACTGGTTGATAATTCCGTATGGTCATAATGTGCAATAATAATAAAAATAACTCTCTTGTAACTCATCAAATTAATTTTTTTTTACTGTACAACATTTAATTCCCAACTGCCTTTAAATGAAAGTGAGATAATTTAATATCCTTGGTTATTATTTATTTATTATTAAATATTTCAAGCATAACCCATAAACATTTCTAAGAGATAAAGCTTTTTTGTAATAAAGTATAATTTTTCGGAATACAAATAAAGCCAATAAATTAATTCTGTTTTTAATTGATCCAATTCTTCCTTCGTTGTAAAAATGTAAAATTTTTAATATGTGTATATAAAAATTAATTTCATGCTGTAAAGCCCAGTTGTGTTAAGTTAAAAATAATAATAACAATTAAAGCTAATTAACTAAATAAAATAGAAATTAAGTAAGAAATAATTTATTGTGCATTTAACATTTTCAGACTAGTGACGAGTTATCTCGTCCTCGTGGTTTTTTTGCCTTTTGGGAGCCCTAGCTGGACACCCATGTCATATATATACATAAATGTAAAATTAATTAAGATTAGACCTGAAGCAGACAAAATATTTCATCAAAAGCTTAGTGTTGGTACAAAAGTATTGTTTGTTTTCTGACCACAACCCTAATCCACGAGATTCTATTATTCAGTAAAGGCTGATTGATCGGATAGAAGATATTAAGTTTTAAAATACATAATAATGAGGGGATGGAGTGGCCGAGTAGTTAGGGTGCCTGACTTGTATTTGCCATACTAGTGGTTCTGGGTACAAATCCTGGTTAAGCCCATGACTTTTTAATTGATAATGGCGTGACGAAAGTATTTTAAAGTGGTTTGATACTCAAAGGGATTATGATAGATAGTTAAACCCTACATGACAGGAATTACTTTACTTTACCTTTTTTCAATATTCTTTACATAATACATAATTTTTGACTCAATTCACTTAAATACAATTTTGAATTTTTTCCATTACATTAAAGGAATTGGTCAACGTTATAGAAGTAAGAGCAATTCAAAGCGAGACTTTGAAATTCAATGTATAGTACAAAATAAGTCAGGCAAAATGCTGGAGTTTTACCATCTGAAAATCAGTCCCAAAAAGTTAATAAATTGTTAAATGCACAATAAAAAAATTGTTAGAAAAAAATACGTAAAACTGTCACAATTTTGTTATTAGCAAACTGTGAAGAGACAGTTGAAATGAGTGAAGAAGTAAATTTGGAAATAAAAGGAGAAATTATGCAATTTATTTTAACCAGAAGATAATTTTTGAAGATTATTATCTACAAATTTAAAATTTAGAATAAATTAAGTAATTTTCAAAGAGAAGTGAAACATAATGAACAATACTTATTATTTTTAAATTAATTGTTAAGGTGTACACTTAAATTATTTAACACAAAATATTCAATCCACTGACCTATACCTGGGGAAACGACTCTTTCATAATGGTAAGGATTCACACACACAGAGTCACACTTGAGATCAAATGCGAACTGGCAGTATTTAACGTGCTTCAGTTCGTTTTTGTGCAGATCAGGCCAACGCCATATCCTAGCATAAATGACATGGGGAAAGCCTTTCCTCCCTGCAACCTAAATTATTTTGGTGTCAAACAAAAAATAACAAATTAGGATGTATAAAGCCATAAGTCTTTCCTTATTGTTATGTAAATATAAAATAAAGGATTAGTGTTTTCTTATCTCGTTAATGCATGTATTGAATATTTCTATTGGTAAATATAACAAATTCTCAATTTATGGCTTGATATAATTTTTTCTTGGTGTTTTACCTGCAATCGACCATCAAGGGTCCTTTGTATAGTGACACATTTGCTATGATGAGATCCATTTGTTGTGATTGCGGTGATCAAACTGTCGAGTTCATCTCGTTTTTCCTTAAATTAAAAAAGTAAATAAATACTGACATGTTTTGTAAATAATTAAGTTTTATTACCTTCAGTTTTTTTACAAGACTTTCTATGGCCCTTTTTGCAAATCCTTCTGATTCACCACCTTGCCGGTGGCACATCAAGCTATGGACTATGCTTAAACAGGCATCTGCAGATGTAGGTGTGCTAGTAGTCATAGTGGTAGTCATTTCTCTCACTGAAATAATAATGAAATAAATGTCGTATGAAAAAAAAAATGTTAAAAATGATCAAAATGCAAAGTCCTATAGAACAAAACTATTTCAACTGTTATTGTTTGCGCGGGACTACCAAAATGTTTTCTTCACACATATTACAATGTTTTGAAAACATCAATGCCAATGCCAATTAAAACAAAAAATTCTGAGATTTTATATTTAGGTCTTAGGACGATGGAGTTGTAGTTTGGGCATTTCCAATCATTTGGTCTGCCTATCCTTGCAGTTTTGTTCTGTCAGATGTGTTTCAGCTTCTCCTCAGTATTGAACAACAAGTATACCAAAATGATTGGAAACGACTAAACTAGAAATTTAAATAATGTCTTCTGTTTGTCCTGCATAATTCACAAATTTGCAGGCCAGAATTTTAAAATATAACATTATATTGGTATGAATGAAAGTATAAGTTTTGGCATCATATAAATATGAAATGTGTGTATTATAGGGTGTAATTTTGCTAAGATATTCCAAACTTTAACACAAAATAAGAATATACAATAAGAAGTTTGCAAAACATTGCGACAAGGTCGAATTGTGACTAGACCATCCCAATCTTTTAATTTTTGCTGAGTTTGTCCACCAGAAGCATGATTATGTTGAAAAGTCTGAAATGGCTGAAATTGAAACCGGCAAGGACAGCAAGATTGCAATAATTAGGGTTGATCAAAATATAACTTGTCAGTTTGTTTTATACACAAAGTATTATTAATAAATTTAAATAGAAGGACTGCCATTTTGCACTGATATTTGGTCACTTATTGGGTCTGTTTACACTCTTGGGAAGTTACTCAAATGCGTTTCGGCTTTGATCCATCTTCAGTGAGGAACTCCAACCATCGCTGAAGATGGTGCAAAGCTGTAACACGTTTGAGTAACTTAAAAACACGCAGGTGTAGACGGACCCAGAAAGTAACCCACCTATTCAACACGTGTTCACATACATGCAAAACCAACACCCACCATCAACCAGAACTGACATTGTCATTGATATGTAGGTATAGAGTCAGAGGTCTTGAGTTTGAGTCCCATTCGTGTCACCAATTTTTCATCTCAACCACACTTTACATAAAAGTTATAAATTAATTTAAATAAATACTTTTGTTAACTATGATCAACTAAAACAAACAGATATTGATGATAGAAAAATAAGGAAATAACACAGAATGATCTCATATTGATAATTTAGTTTTAGAAATGTATTAAAATTGAAATACTTGAATGAAATAAACTGTGAAAAAATGTATTTTAATATTTTTCAGAGCCTGTGTACACAAGTTTATTTTTAAGTCAGCCAATCTCTATATGATTTGGATCTGACATTTGGACGCACTGTGATTACACATGAGTCAAAAGTCAGATCAGATATCAGACCAAATATGAACAGTATGAACATAAAAACATTTTGACCAACAGATCAGGTGTAAATGGCCAACCTAAATTAAAATTATATAAACTCTAGATTTCCTTAGAGTCACTTATTAACTTCTTATTTTTGTTGATATATCTACATTAAGTGAAGTAAGTTCTGACAAATCAAAGGAAAATTTAATCAAAATAATACCTATTGCCTTAGAAAATCAAGGCTTTAAAGGATTGCACAATGTAGATAGGATTATGACTGAATATTTAGGAAGGAAAATAGACGCACTGGACTTTGTAAACTTTTGAACCGAACATCCGTCTGATAATTATTGTTAAAAAGTAAAATATTGAATAAAAATGGCTTGATGTAATGTCTGTGTACTAAAGTGTATTCCTACCATCAGCTCTGACTATAGTGAAATGATGGTCAGTTCTGACAGTTGGGTGCACTGTGATTACATCCGACTCAGCAGTCATATATAATCACAGACCAAATATGAGCAGTATGATATATACTCATATATATATATACACATATTTTTAACAACATATCAGATCTAAGTGGGCAACCTAAATTAAAATTAAATAACCATTTTAGATTTCCATATTCACAATAGTTAGCTTCTTGCCGCCTGTCTCCTTTAAATCAGAGATGAAGCCAAGACTGACATTTCCTAGTAAAATCTGGCCTCAAACCAAGTTATGTTGCTTAGAAAACCAATGCTTGGAAAGATTGCACAATGAAGATATAATTATGATTGTATATTCAGGGAGGAAAATACAGGCACTGGGGCTTGTAAACTTTTGAACCGTCCTTCCGTCTGAAGATTATTGTTAAGCAATAAAATATTGAATAAAAATAGCTTGAGGTATTGTCTGCAATCTAAAGTTTAGTCCTACCATCAGATCTGATTACAGTGAAATGATGGTCAGTTCTGAGTGTTGGGCGCACTGTGATTACATCCGACTCGGCAGTCATATACAATCACAGACCAAATATGAACATTATGATATATACACATGTTATTTTTAACATCATATCAGATCTAAGTGGGCAACCTAAATTAAAATTGGATAACCACTTTAGATTTCCATATTCACAACAGTTAGCTTCTTGCCATCTGTCTCCATTAAAACCGAGACGAAGCCAAGACTGACGTTTCCTAGTAAAATCTGGCCTCAAACCAAATTATGTTGCCTTAGAAAATCAAGGTTTTGTAAGATTGCACAATAAAGATATAATTATGATTGTGTATTCAGGGAGGAAAATGCAGGCACTGGGGCTTGTAAACTTTTGAACCGACCTTCGGCCTGAAGATTATTGTTAAGCAATAAAATATTGAATAAAAATAGTTTGCGGTAATGTCTGTATGCTAAAGTTTATTCCTACCATCAGATCTGATTATGGTGAAATGATGGTCAGTTCTGACAGTTGGGTGCACTGCGATTACATCCGACTCAGCAGTCAGTATAACATCAGACCAAATGGAAACAATAATAAACAATAAACATATCATTTTTAACATCGTATCATATGTAAGTGGGCAACCTGAATTAAAATAGATTAGATTTCTTTCCTCAAATTTTTTAACTTGTTGTTTCTAAGATGTGAAATATGCAGAGTTGAAGTATGAACGTTTCTGTTTGAATAAGATGAAAAACACCAATAAACAAAGAACTTAGGAAATTTTTCTTCGTAATCCCAATGAAAATCTTGCAAAAACTTGGCATTAAGGGAAATTTTAGAGATTCTACATAGCCCTCGAGACTGCAGAGGGCCTAACCGATATGGAATTGTGCAGTAACACTCCAGAGGACAGGTCGTCCCTCCAGGGGGTTGAAATAGAGGGTTGTATTCTTTAAAACGGGCTCACCTTCCATTTGAAAATTATTGTTGATTTGGTGCCCAGCACCCGAGAGGCCGACCATCATGTAAAGACGGTGACCATCCGTCCTGAATCCAGCAGGACAGTCATGCGATCGAGTACCAGCACGTATGGGTCCCCTTTTGCAGGAGAAGATGCGATGCACTCCTCTTTTCCGCCACGGAAATCCACTTTTACTATTTAAATAACAGTTTAAAACTGTCCCAAGTAACCTCTCTTACTAGATAAATAAATATATATGCAGTCAGCCTGTGAGGATGACATAGAATCGGACTGTCATGGGGCTTAAGTCGGATTTAAGATGACGGGCGAAATGTAGAAGGGTGCGGGGTGGACGTCACGTGGTCATTCCCAACTCCCTGTTTCACCAATTTCCTCCCCTTTCGTTTTTCTTCTTCTTCCTCCCTTTATTAAAGAATAACAAACATTTTTTTCAATTAATACTAATAAACTTTGTTTTAAAATTTCCAAATGCTGTACTGATATTGCTGTATTACATGAGTTTAACATAAACTTTATTCAATGTTTGTCATTTATAGCTACTTTCATCAAACAAGACTAATTTTATGAGAGTGATGAAAATTGTAATTTAATAATGTAGCACGATATTGTTTAACTCCACTTAATAAACGGACACTTAATTAACTATTTTACCTTCTATTCATAAGATAGATATCAAATTGTGAAACTTAATTCAGTAACTTCTAAAAGAATAACAATATTGTCTGGTGTACCTCAGGGGTCATTACTAGGCCCATTCTTTTTTATTCTGTTTTCACTCCCTTAATTTCTCCCTCTTTTGCTGATGACCTGAAGTTTTTTCCCAACTATTCATTAATACACACTGAGAAGAAGAAAAAAATAAATACTTTTAACTAAAACCACAGTGTAATTTTGTCATTACCAATAATTTTTTGATTTTCATTTCTTTGTAATCTGTAAAATGGATTCGGCAATTTTGACAAAATTCTTCAAAGCCCACCACTGAAGGCGACGAGAAGCCAAATAACATTTGACAGATCAAACCAGGATCATCAACCACTAGTTTAACGGCACCAATTTCTTACAGATTAAATGAATTAAATAAAAGTAATAAAAACGCCAAATGATTATTTTTCACTCAGAAACAAAGAAAGACATAAAAGAGAGATAAATTATACGTTTTAACCAAACCACATTGTAATTAGTTCATTATCGACCATTTTTTGTCTTCCTATCTTCAGACAGACCAGAAATAGCCTTGAAATAATTATGTATCCACTAGTTTGAAGTTCCAATTATTTACAGATTAAATAACAAATAAAATTAATAAAAACTTTAACAATTCATTCAGTTTCACTGAAAAGGAAAGAAATATATCAAAAAAGTAATAAATTTTTAACAACTTTTAATTAAACCCACATTGTAATTTGTTATTATCAACCATTTTTTGTCTTCCTATCTTCAGATAGACCAGAAATAAATAGTTACGTATCCACTAGTTTGAAGGTACCAATTATTTATAGATTAAATAACAAATAAAAGTAATAAATACTTCTACAATTCATTCATTTTCACTGAGAAGGAAAGAAATGTATTAAAAAATAATAAATTTTTAACAATTTATTTTGAATAATGGTTTATTAGCAGCTTATTTATATATATATAAAAAAAAAAAAAAATACACTACTAGTTTTGATGCTCGATTGGTGGCATCCATTTGAAATGTTTCGTTGAAGTTATTTTTTTTTAATGCACTACTAGTTTTGACAAATAAATTCAAAATCAATATTTAATAGAAACCTCAACGAAACGATTTATTAAATTATTAACTTAACTTTTAACTAAAACCACATTGTAATTTGTTATAATCGGCCATTTTTGGTCTTCCTATCTTCAGATAGACCAGAAATTAAGTTAGTTTAAAGTTACCAATAGTTTACAGATGAAATAACTTAAATAGAATGAATAAAAATTTCAATTAATTAATTTTCACTTTCAAGCAAAGTAAGATATCAAAAAAGAGATAAATTATACTTTTAACTGAAACCAAATTCGAGTAGCAGTATGTGTTTGAATCAAGCGGGTTTTTGAGTAATAATTGGTTTGAATGGATCAGATTTTGAACTTAAATTTTATTAAATAAATTTAGCCAATAAGTACAAAATATTTATTATAAATAATGTTAATTTATTAGTAAAAATGTATATTTATAAACGTAAAAAAACTCATATAACAGCTAAATCTAGAAAAATATTTTTGGCATGATTTTCCCATTTTTTTAATAAAAAATTTATAATAATTTTTTTTCATTACAGTATTTACGTTTTTTGTTGAGAAAATTGTTTTTATAAGTCAATTACTTTAAGTTTGAAGTAGTTTTTGAGGGGCAATTTTGGTTGTCCTTAGGCAATGTTGGCCAGAATGGGGCCGCTTGTTTAGCTTTGTAAGTTGTGTTTGTTTTATTACTTTTATTTTGAATTCCTCGGATAATTTGTCTCTGGCCTCTTCTAGTACCAGGACGAGTTTCTAGCGTAGAAAACGCGTTTTTTGATATTCCTTGCCATGCCTTTTTACCCGGAGCACGCCTGCCGCCATCAGGAAATAGAAAAAGGCCGGTAAAGGGGAAACGAGATGTGATTCGTGAGAATTTCGCCGTCGGTTCGGTCGTAATCATCCGTGTGTCGGACCCGGACGAATATGGGAAAATGTGAAGAGAGTTGAACCATGGCAGGACGGTCTGTGATGTTTTGGCACATTTTCGTTCTGTTGGGCGTGTTAGACCGTTGTCAGTCCGACCCATGTCCAGTCAGGTGCGATTGCTCCAAGATTATCGCGTCCAAGCAACAGCCTGCAGAGAGGTACAAGTGGAAGTGCGGGGTGAACGGCCACCTCCTGAACACCCTCGAGGATCTGCACTTTGACACCCTCAACAATCTTTCAGACGTTTTCAATCTGTAAGTTATCATTTTGTGTCAAAATTTCAGTTTATAATTGATTCTGTTTCAGTGGATTTCAAAGCCTTTGGTCCTCACAAAAGTTTGGCAGCCCAAAATTATCTTCAATATGTGGTGTTTAGTTACCGTTAATTACACCATCCTTTACATACAACAATAACAAACAAAGGGCTATTTCTCAGAATTATTACCCCAAGCCATGAATATTTTCACCACAAGATCATAAACATTTCCTACATAACAATCACTACCCTAAACACAATCAGCAGAATAATCAACAACTACAACTCAACACTAACACCATCATTATTAATAATACTACATCAAATCTATCAAATATAGACAAACCAACATACATATCCATGCCGTTCATTCAGCGGAACATCTTCAACATACAGCCTATCATAAATTAAACACATTTCTCTCTTCTGATAACATTAAAATAGCCTTCAAAAACTATAAAACAATTCACACACTTTTTTCCCCAAAATTAAAGATCCCACACCAGTAACAAATAAGTCTGATGTAATTTACAAAATCAATTGTTTAAATTGTCCGGCAACTTACATCGGAATAACATCCTAATATCCGGATAAGAGGGTAAAGCATCATATCTATGATTGCAAAAAACCCAAACAAAATCCTACAGCACTCGCTACCCACCATTTTGAACACAAACACAATTTTGACTTCAACAATCCAAAAATATTACACACAGAATAAAACAAACGTAAATGTAATTTTTTAGAAATGGTTTACATCAACAGAGATAAACACAGCATCAATTACAGGACAGATATATGTAAACTCAGTCGCAGCTATGCTAAAATCATTAATCAAATTCAATATTGATAACATACATATATCATCATCACATTCCACACATCAAACATTTCTACATAGTCTAATTCTTCAACAATTTGTCTTTCCTTTCCCTAATTATCCCCATCTATATAATCCTGAAAGGGTAATCAGGCCGAACCATTATCCATTTTTTCCCATTGTTGGCTCCTTGTACCTCAAAGAAGCCGACTCCTCTTATAAAAATGGATTTCCATCCCCACCCCTTCAAAATCAAATGTGTATCAACATAAAACATCAATATCTAACTGGCACTCTCACCATGACACACAATAATGACACATCTACACAGAAAACAAACACTTTGAGTGAGTACAAATACTTTGAGTCTAAAATTTCTAGCCTTGTATAAATTCATTTTTTCACTTCCTGCATGTATTTGTATAATTTAAACAATGTTTATAAATCCCAGGCCCTGAAGATGATCTCAATAAAGATCAAAACGTTGGCACAATAAAGGAAATGTTTTTCTAAAACCTACGTCACACCAGACTGCAACTCACAACCCCAAATAATCATTATCTTCAATAGGAACGCATAATTTTACTTATTGTATATCACTATGCAGTCTGATTACCTCTGGATTAAAACTATTTCCACTAGCTTAATATTCATTTGTTTACAATTTGAAGATTTGAGGCCTTGCCAGCAAGATTTTAACTGCAGTGGTCAAGTGGTTAGGGTGTCCAACAGTATTTGCCTCATTAGCGATTCTTGGTTTGAGACTAGACAAAACCTTGGCCTTCTGTTTGAGAATAATTTAAATGAAAATATTCAATATTTATACAAAAATAAACTGCTCCACAAAAACAAAAAAAAAACTTGACAATGTTTTGGCCATATTTTTTTGTTTTACACCTTTAAAAATGATTTAATAACTATAATTAGATGGAAAGTATTAGTTTTTGTCATTGATAGTCTGCAAAACCACTTTTTTCATAATTTGATTTAAAATCTTCACAGTGTAAATCATCAACAGAGGTATTTAATCTTTAATAATGCCTTGGTGTTGGTGGCTCAAAACAAAATAACCAGCAAGTTGCCCGTGCCATTGCACTCATTGAGGATGGAAGAAATCAGCGTTACGCTGCAAGAATTTTAGATTTGCCTAAAATGGTTGTCGGACATTCAGTGGTCAACCAGGAGATTACAAGGATCGGGATGCCCAAGAACCAAGGGTCCAGCTGATGACTGATTTATCAGATTTCACACTCTGAGATATTGCTTTTCTGAAAGTCTCAAAGACTTCGAATTGTGCGGGATGTGTCCGTTAGTGCTGAAGCAGTAAGAATTAGACTTGCAGAAGTGAGTCTATATCCCATCAAGCCAGCAACGGGTTGCTTATCAGAGACCATCGTCAGGACTGCTTAGAGTTTGCAAGAAAGACAGGTGTAAACATTAATGAAGGAATGTTATGTTTTCTCTCAATTCACCAGATGGACGTCTTTGAACTTATCGAGCAGCTGTAGAACTCTACAGCCAGTGCAACCTTGGTGGAAGAGGGTCGTTTGGAGATGGTTCAGTTATGGTGTGGAGCAGAATTAATTTGGAGGCCAAAATGTAGATACATATTTTTAATAGGATGCCATTTAATGCAGAAATCTATGTGACAGAAATTCTTGAGAAATATGTAGTGCCATTCATTTGCTCCGTTTATTGGCAAACAATTTTTGTTTATGCAAAATAATGCAAGACCAACTGTCACCACCAGAATTATGGTAAATAAAAATTACCTTTGAGATGTCAACATTTACACCTTTATTCCTGATTTGAACCCCATTGAGCACTTTTGGAATGAGCTCGGATGTTAAATAAAACAGGGGGGGGGATAAATAACCCTCCTACAGCCTTAATTGAGCTGAAATATAAGTTAGTTGAGACTTGGGTAACACATGTGTTAAGTTTGTTTTATAATGTTTTATGTTCATACAAAAAAGTGATTTTTCAATTATTTTGTTTTTGTTTTTGAAAGATATTTTTATTTTCCCACTAACCTAATCTTTTAATAAATACTTCAATTATAAAAAAATATCGGTGTTCGTATTACTGAAAAGACAGAAATATCAAAATTTCAAAATGCACCACTTTTTTGTGGAATAGTAGTAAGTAGAAAGTAATAACTTCCTATATTTAAGTGGTTCTGACTCCTTGTCCACTTGACCTAACCCCTTGGATGTTAAGCTGTCTTTGTATGACAAGAGATTTTTATAAAATATTTATTGGATGGTAATAATAATAATAATAATAATAATAATATAATACTTTATTGCAAAAAAAGAAAAGTTATAAACATTACATAATATATAATTAAATAATATATAATAATTAAAATGCTTATTGGATGGTATTGTATGGGATTTTCCTTCATTAAAATAAAAATATCATATATAATATTATATTTAGAGTAATGTTTATTGAGAGTTTTGATGTAATGATTTCTGTTTTAATTTCTCATTAACATAATTTTTTGTAATAATGTGCCCACTGTGTCTACAACTTAATTTTTTTTTTCAGTGACCTGTCAGGAAATAGCATCACACATTTACCAAAAAGGGCCTTTCCTTTTCCAGAACTTCAAAAATTGTGAGTCTATCATATCACATTTGTTAATATTATTTGCTTAAGAGCATTATAATTTATTTTTCTGTCGTTTTTAGAGATTTAAATAAAAACAACATAGAAATCATAGATAGCGGTGCGTTTACTGATTTGACTTCCCTTAGACGATTGTAAGTAACGATTAATGTGATGAATCTTTATTATTATATACATAATATCCTGATCGATTATTTTTAAAGGGATTTGTCAAACAATCGTATTCGTTATCTTACGGCATCCATGTTTGTCGGTCTCCAGAATCTCGAAAGGCTGTACGTATTTGTATAATTCATACAATTTTAAGACTTCCTTCCTAATTTTAATAATTCATCCTATTTCAGAAAAGTGAGTCAAAATATGATACGGCAAGTGAAGGACGGGACATTTGAGGAACTCATTTCTCTGAAAATTTTGTAAGTGCTTTCATACTGCTGTTTTATCCCTGTAAAATTGTGTGCGATCTGTAAAATATATAAAATAATATAAAGTTAATGTATTATAATACACATAATATAATGTAAATAAAACCTTTGGTGCTTTTAGCTTCAATTTTTATTTTTAAAATGAAGTTTTGGAATTTTTTGTATGAATATTGGTCATATCTTGAAAGAAGGACAAATCAAATTTTCCATTGAATATTTAAAAAGTTAAAAATAAAACAAAGAATATTGTTCTCATTGTGGAATACATTCACCTAGCTGTGTATATTTGTCGAATCCTATGTATAATCAATATAATGATTAATAATAAATTAAATAATTTGGCAGAGACTTATCAGGGAATCCGTTAGTTTGTGATTGTGACCTATGGTGGCTGTGGGCACACACGTTGACGTTTAAGCTTTCCCCAATGCCTAAATGCTCAGAGCCTCTTACTTTCAAGGACCAGCCGTTGAAAAAACTTCGGACTCTGACTCACTGTTGGGGTGACTACTCGTCCCCTTTGCTTGAAGTGACTCCTGATCACGATCAAGTAAGTTTAGATTAAAAAATAATGAAATGTTTATAATGTGATTTTTTAAACGGTTGCAATTCGGTTTGCAGGTCGTTTTTGAAGGGGATTCTCTTCAGCTGGATTGCAGGGCGGGCGTCACAAAAGCAGCGTGGAAAGACACAAGCATTTCTTGGTATTGGGCCGGTCTCCCTCCTCAGACCGTATTCCCATCTTCGATACTTTTGGAAAATAAACAGTTGGTGGATACAGGCCTTATTGAAAGGTAATTTTTTTAAACCTGAGTTAGAAATAAATTAAAGCAGTTTAACATATTTTCTCTTATAATTTTATTTTTAATAAGTAATAACTTTTTAATAATTTCAGCTCTTTGGTTATAAATAAGTTAAATGCCAATCACACGGGCGAATGGAACTGTGAACTGATATCGAGTGAGGGAAACCATTCCAGCACATTATCTGTTATTGTTATATCGGGTTCGACAAAATACTGCCGACCAACTGGTACAGTTTTTAATATGAAATATATATTTAATTACAGTGCCAATAAACAATTTAAATAATTTTTAGTTACCAAAGACAATAAAGGGGAGTATATTTGGCCCAAAACAGTTGCTGGTCATGTCGTTGAACTTTCGTGTTCTGCTGAAATCGGATTTGCCGTTGCAAGAAACAACTGCACGCTCGACGGTTATTGGGAAGGGGCCAACACATCCTTATGCCCTTTTATCAGCGAAACTACACGAATTTTACAACAATACGCAAAAGTACGATTCTATAATTGAAATTTTCATTATCAAATTGTTAACGAATGTAAATTTTTACAGATGAACTTAACCGCTGGGCGTAACAGCATTCTAGAAAGTGCTGTCCGACTGCATAACTACACGTTAGAAAATAAAAGCAAATTCAACGATCATTTCGATGTTGTTTTTATTACACAAACTATTGAAAATTACCTTCAGTTTGTTGAGGCAGAGAAAGAGGTAGATTCATACATATTACAATGACAATTTATTATTTAATTTTTTTAAACTAATAAACAAATATTTTCAGCTTGGTACTCTTTTGCTAGATATTATTAGTAATATAATGGATCTAGACCAACAACTGTTATCAGATGCTCAAATACACGATCGTTCTTGTACAAAATTGTTGTCAGCCATTGAAACGATTACAGAATATCAAATTATTCCTGCTGAACCTGGCCATCGAGTAAGTCTACCATCCTAAAACAATGTGAACATAAATATATAAATATTAAATTTATTGAAATTTAAAGCATATCTAATTTTTGTAAAATTTGTGACGCCTGTGAGTTGATTATCCTGTAGCTTGTTCTCTCATCATCCTGGCCAATCTATTTTTTAGGTAGTTTTAGAATATTTTTACCATTTCTACACATTACACATCACATTTACATTATAATATCATTGTACCATTTTTCCACATTTATTTTTTTGTTTTTGATTTTTTATTAATGGCCTTATTTAGTCAATATTGGTTAGATTTTTTTTTTTTTTTACTTTTAGAGTACATACTGAAAGTCTGATGGGTTCACCACTCGGCTACTGCGGTACCGTTTCAGTGATTTTGGCTTGTGTGTTATTTAGATTTGCCAACAGCTAAAGATGGCAAATTGCTGATGCTATGAAAAGGCAATAAAAATAGCATTTATATAGTGTAATCACTAAATCATTTATTAGGTAAATGGTTAATTAGGTTTAGGTAAAAAAGATAAATAATTATAAAAAAGAAAGGACAATTACTTATGAAATCTACGATTTCTTCATAGAGTCTGCATGGTGATAAACCTGCAGTTTGGTCGTTTCTGATAATTTTGATCTGCTTCCTACCCTTGCTTGAAACCAACAAACCAGTAATGATAGGGCAGCCTAAACCGATTGGAAATGACCAAACTATTGTCACAAGTTCAGTGATCATCCCTAAAAGTGTTTTGCCAGTGTGCACCTTTTTTTTATTTCTTATGTGCACCTTTGAAAATATACTTTGCACTGGCAATGAGGTAAATGAAAACAAATAAGATAAAATAAAATATGAGAACTATATCAGAAAAAAACTAGTTGACCCTCTTCAATGATTTACATACAATTTACAAAATATTTTTATTTATATTCTTGTGGAACAAAAACTATAATCAAGCCTGGTTTCCTACAACGCATTTGATCTCCAGTACCAGGAGTCCTTCAGTGCTTTCCTCTTTTTCCCCTCTCCAGTGCACGATCTCTAGAGGTCCTCTAGAGTCCTAAAAGAAATTGCAGGAAACCAGCTTTTTCATGTTTTTTCTTTCACTCACAGTTTCCGTTCTGTGTGCCTTGTTATGACTGTAGCCTGCCTGTCCCTGCCTCCTCTTGATTGGTTGGATGGACCTGAGCCATTCAGTTCGCTGTCCTCTCCTCTGCTTCTTGAACCACCCAGACATTTTCGACCTTTTATGGTGGGCTCCTCCATTTCAAGCAGGCCCAACTTTACCCTTGTCACGATTTTTTTACCCTTCTTTGTTTCATTTTCTTCATCGATTACAAAATATTTGTCATCTGTGAGTTGATGATCCTGCAGCTTGATCTGTGACTAAGTTGGTCAGCCAGGTCTAGCTGGTTTTGAAATTTTTACATATTCAGTGGTTGATTTGTTATTTACTTGCCATGCACTAAATATGGCAAAATGCTGAAGTATGTCGTGTCTGTCAAGACTGACACTGACTATGATGATCCCAGAACTATAAAGATAGTATTTTTAATGTAACCTGTGAAATGGTTGATTAGTTTTATGTAAAAAAAAGATAAATGATTAGAAAAAGTACAATTACTTCTGAAATATACAGTGCACATTATACAATCATACATGAAATGTATAATTTCTTCATGGGTAATAAATCTGTAGTTTTTTCTGTAGGTCTTTTTTGATAATTTTGTTCTATTGCTTATTCTCTTTGGAAATGACTAGACTATTAATGAAATGAAGTAAATAGTACACATTCAACATTACATTTTTAAATTATTTTTCTTAGTAAATTTCGTTTTAAATTTTTGTAAGTTTTATTCCAAATGCTTTATTTACTTCTTATTTTTCAGTGGAATATGGCTGTTGAAAAGTTTAGGGTGTCTAGGGAAAGTTTTCTTGGCATAACATGTACTTGGTGGAATAGCAAAGAAAAAAATCCGAAAGAGAGGTTGTTCCACTGTTCGACCACAAATACCAGCAGTCTTCCTGTTACGTTTGACAAGGTATTCGAAGCCTCGATACAAATACCTTCGTCGCTGTTCCACCAGCTTGAGATAAGGGGGAAACCGTCAATGGCTCAGCAAGTCATGGTCGCGATATTCGACAGCGCCAAGTTGTTTCCAACCCCTTTCAATCTCAACCGAACAGTCTTGTCACCCATAGTGGGTGCAAAAATTATAGGCGTTGACGTCAGGGATTTGAACGAGCCCCCGTCTGTCACGCTCGGCGGAATTCAAGACGGTGTTATGCCGGCCTGGTGGGATGAATCTCTGGGAAACTGGGTCGCAAGGCCTTGCAGGCCGACATTCTTCCATCATCTACTCGTCACCAAGTGTCAACATCTTGGCTATTTTGCGCTTATTTCTGACATGAGATATGAACCAGCTCCAGTGTAAGTCTTCAGAAAACTTACAAAACACCAGATCAAAAATAAAGTCAACAAAAGGGTTCTATTGAATTTAACGAAATTTTTCAGAATTGAGCAAGCAAAATCAAGGATGAGCAATCCAGCGATATTTGTTGGAACGTTTGTTGGTTCAACATGTCTGCTTGTCGCTGCATTCACTTATGCAGTATGTCATTCATCAATTCAGATGTCGGACAAGATGAAACATGCTTTATCTAACACTTGGATTGCAATATCCTTACTTTCCATAGTTTTCAAGTATGTCAAATAAATCAGTATAATATACACCTTAATAACTATTTCAAGTAATTATTATTTATTTTAATATTTTGTCAATTAATCAAATTTTTATGTGTTTCCAGCATTGGAATGTATCAGACAGAAGATGTTTTCATTTGTCAGGTGATCGGCCTTCTTCTACACTACTTGACGTTATGCTCTTTATTCTGGATGGCTGTTTCTATTAAGTAAATATACCGATAAAGTATTTAAACATCTTTTCATGTATAAATATAACAAATAATTACAGCGGGATGCATCGTGCCTTGGCCAAAATGGAACCAGTCGTTTCAACAGGCAGCGACGATGGTAGTGGAAGGCCTGAAGTCGTTGGACAGCCACTTGTCGGTCTTTATCTGGTCGGATGGGGAGTCTCCGGACTACTTGTCGGCCTTTCCGGAGCGGTAAATCCGAAAGGGTATGCGACACCTACATATTGCTCTTTAGGCCCGGGACCAGGATTCACACCCGTACTTGTACCTATATCAGCGTTGTTTATATTTATTTTCACCAGGGCTCTTATGGTAGGTAAAATAATTGATGTTGAGTATAATTATATAATTATGTATAAAAATGTTTTTTTGTTTTGTTTTTAAAGGTAAGATCTGCAGCAGTTGAAAAAGACTCAAATGCTCAGTTGTCAGAAGGCACACAAGCGACAGATTTGGAATTGTTGGAGACGGGGCTTCCGTCCCCCGATCGAGCTAGTATTCAAAGCATCGCTACACCTAGCAGTCATGTTGAAGATCTCGAGCACCCGCCTTATGTCCAACTAAAGGCTTTTCTTATAATAATTGTCCTTTTTAGCATCACTTGGGTTTTTGCAGCCCTGTCTGTAATAAAACCTATAAATATGCCATACGAGGAAACAATATTTAGCATAATGTACGCAGTTTTTATAATTATTTTAGGGAGTTTTGTCATTTTTTTCTACTGTTTTTCAAGAAGCGATGTTAGATCGGTTTGGTTCACTCTAAAACACATCAAAAGATCGAGGAATGTTACTGATTTCGCTCCTCCTCCTATAATGAATTCATCTGAAATTCCGACGCCAGGACGAAAATCCATCAGTCCTCGGCCTGAACCTCAAGGGGAACTGATGCAACAGAAAACCAATTTTGTAGATTTACACAGGAGGCAATATCACAACAATATTATTGTCAACGAGCCGAATTCATTTTACAACCCACAGCAGAGCATTGTTGCTAAAAAGTTTTTCAAGAAACAGAGGAGAAAGAGAAACAGCCTTCGTAGGCGAAGGGGCGTCGGTGATGGGACCCCCGTCTCTCCAGATAATTCCGAACTGTTTCATCTAGGTTGTAAATCTACTGTCGGTTCTACCACACCGCATTCCGAATCGAGGAATGTCATTTGTGACAGGAGACCTCTCGAGAGGCTGGTAATCGGAGCGGAAAGCTCAAGGCCGACACAAACGAATAACGACGGCAGTGTCAAATACGCCTCGGTAGCCAGTGAGTGTTGCAGTTGCATGGTTTCCGAAGCCCATTCCATCACGGACTGCACAAGAGACTTGACATCGGAGCATTCGAGTCGAAGCAGTCATTTATACGCGACAGTTGCGCCTGACATGTCGCCTCTTCCAAGGCATAAAATGAACCCGCAACTTTCCATCGACATTAAAAATGAAGCTGTCCGACTGAACATATCAGAAAGTAATTATGATTTAAAATCTTCGGACGAAGAGAAAAGAGAAACAAGCGTATAGCAAAGACTATGACTACTAAGTAGTCAAATATATTAAAACTGATAAAATCAGTTTAGTAATGTAAATAATTTTTTCTATTCAATTAAAATTATTTTAATGCTTTTTTACTTTTTTATTTATAATGTTTGTTAATAAAATTATTTAATAGAAAATGAATTGTGCAAATGTTAAAAGACCATCGTGTTGAATTAGGATACAAAAAAGTAATATTTGAAAATAAAAAAATATAGTTATCGCTTACAAAATATATAATTTGTTATTATACAATTTATAGAAATATTACAGATATAACTTTTTTGTCATGTTAGTGTAAAAAATGTATTTTAAACCTTTTTTAAAATTTATTTAAAACTTTTTTAATCTGTGTTTGTCAATTTGTAATTCTATCTGTGTGCGTGTTGCATATATGTATTTCTGTTTGCCTGAGTGTGTGTTAATTCTAAGATATTTTCAGCTCTCTTCAAGTACAAAAACTTTGTATTAAGTAGGTTGTCGGATAGCGAAACACGTACAAAACATTCTTTTGTGATCTTAAGCATATTATTCTATTCAAGAACTTACAACATTTAATCGTACCTTTTTCAAAATATTAAATTGTATCTTAGCTATAAGATTATAAATATTTAATGTTGTTGGAAATCGACTGAATGTGAGCATGTGCTTATTTATCTGTAAATACCTTATTATGAAAATGTAGACTTTTTAATCAGTTGTAATGTGTGTATTTTTTAATCTGTTTTCTTGATAACGTACAGTTACGTTTATTGCTAGGAAGTTTAATATTGTTGAAATGATTCCTTATCGAATATGTTTCGCATTTACAAATATTTATTTTGTTAAAGACTGATTTTAAGAAAAAAACAAACAAACAAACTGCTTTCTGATGTAATATTTTAATCAGTGTGATCTCAATATAGCTTAGAGAAATAAAATTAAAATGTCCCAATGCTTTATTATTGATGTCTGTTTGCTTAACAATAAAGTTAATAAACTATTTACTAGTAGAATTTTCTGTGTAAACAACATATCAAAATTAGAGTTTGTAGGTTTTTTTACTTTTATAATTTGAAATATAGATATTTTCCATTAATTTTATAGTATTTAATAGCTCATCAGGTTTTCATGTTCCTTATGTGTTTGTAAGGTTTTTTATGTATTATTTATTTATTATTATAAATATGTGCTAATATAAATAAAGCCATTGTTAACATTTGTAATAACTCATTCCCCCCCACCAAATCGTTGATATATATTTTGTTTACAAGTTGTTATAAATTATTTTTTTATGCTAACATTAAAGTAAAGTAATTCTTGTCATAATGGTTCACACCACGGTGAGCAAGTGGTTAGGGTGCTGACTCGTATTGCCTCGTTAAGGGTTCTGGGTTCGAATCGTCGCTTAGCCCATGGATTTTTAATTATGAATAATAGTGGGAGAAAGTATTGTAGTTTTTCTTTGATTTATGATGGTGTGGAGGGAAGGAATTGGTTTGGGTTTGTGTGTACAGTTGAGAGACAAACCCATACCAAAGAATTATTGTAGGGTGGTTTTATGCCTCATCTGCGACATCCGATGGATGTTAACCCCACCCGTGCTATGGTCGAGGTGGATACCAAGCGCTTGTTCTACTGGGCATATGTACCGTTTTTTTTATGTATCAGAGAGATGTGGAATGTGGACACAAATCATTTAAATGTCCACATCCTTCCCCAATAATCCAGGGCTCAGTGCCCAGAAACCAGCGGAAACATCCCAGACAGGACACCCCCATAGGGCAGTCACTAGAACATCCATTAATTAAATAACTAATTGATTACTCTTAACGAAACTTCAGACTATGAAACAACGTTTATATTTTTATTGACAGCAATCTCGTTTTCACTTTGCAGCTGTCAGCTATTATCACTTATCAGTGAAAGGTATATTACTGTTACATTTATATAACAATTTGACATTGTGGTTTATTTGGCAAGATTAAATTTTCGATTTTGAAGCATTTTCTGTTGAAGTTCCGTTTAAATTTGGAACGCTTTTCGTACCCAGCAGGCATGGTAAGGCTCCAGGCAAATGTTTGGTAAAATTTTCTTAATTATTATAGTTTTTCATTCACGATTGTTTACTTTGCTCTCACCTTCACCAAGATTTATTGGAGTACTGTTAGTGCGAAAAACCTTATAAGTTTTTGCTTACATTATTATTTTTCCTCTACCAAATCAGTCTTTTTCAATATGAAATTATTTAGCAGAAATGATGCGTGTTCTAAGCTTGTTCAAGCTTCAAGGTTCAAGGTAAATTAATTAGAAATAGTAATTGAGCTATGTGGGAAGATATCAACTAAAGCTTCGAGGGGACTCTGGGGATGCGTGTTGATGTCTGGGCATTCTCAATAGAAGAATAACCATCTACTTGGACACTGAAGGCAGTTAACGCATCAGTGGTGAAGTCCAGTCATTTGGGACTGCGTCAGAGCCCTGTCCGACATTGAGAAAAAAAAACTACCTTTGTCTGGGTACCGGGGCACACAGGCAACAAAGAGGCCGTTAAATTAGCCAAGTAAAGTTTGATGAGGAGGCCTAATGGCCTGAACCATTTTGTGGCTCCAAACTGCCAAAAACACAGATCCATTAGACAGTGGATTAAAATTAAGTCCTCCATTCAATGGGGAAGTAGCCCAGGACAGAGGTATGCAAAAAGTTTATCAAACGTCCATTGCAGAAACTAACAGCAAAAATAAATCTAGGACGTGCTAGGACTAGAATAATAGTTGGACTGCTGACTGGGCACTGCAGACTCCGGAGACATATGTATAGAAACAAACCTGTGCAGATATTGCCAAGAAGAAGAACAGCGGAACATATCCTCTGTCGGTGCGAAGGCCTTGTAGTCTGAGATTCTTAATCCTGGGAGAGGAAAAGCCTGGTTCTAAAAGATGTACACCATGGAAAGAGCCGTTGAAAAAGCTTTGGGGTCTCGTAAAAAGCCTTAAGCTTAATGAGAAGCTCTAGATTAAAGGAAAAAAAAGGAGTGCTCAGGTTGTAAAGAGGCCGGCTCCTATATAATATCTCCATCTATCCTATCTATGTGGGAAGATATTCAAATCAGCTAAGAAAGAAAAGCTGCAAGAGAATAAAACGTAAAAGAAAATGGGAAAAACAAAAGGAAGAGTGAAGAAAATGGGATGATTCATGTCATTTTTAAAAACTCAGATGCCATGGATCAGAAACAAGCCAGCGAGGAAGCAGAACGTACTTCCCAGGGAAGCAAATCCCATTGTCTTGACCTGCAATTCTGAAGGATGAGGCTAAAGTTTTAGAGTAGAAGGTAATGGAGCAGATTGAAAGTCTAAGAAATTGAAAAAATAGTGCTATGTAAAAGAATAAATTAATTACTATGGATTTAATAATGAGAACTCTAAATTTCTGTTGAGTGAAAAAGTTAAGGTATTGAAGAGAATGGAGGCTTGAATAGAGCTTTTTTAATAATGCTTATTTGGAGATCGGACCGTATCTCATGATCTCCAAATAACCATTAATTAACGGTCACTAAACACCACACTTTTTAATAATAGAGCTCACATGGTCATGCCATATAAGCTTGGAGTTATAGCTGAGATTTTTAACTTTAAGACAAAAATTGGGGGGGCCGCGGTAGCCGAGTGGTTAAGGCGTCAGACTCTCGGCTAGTAGATCCTTCGGTCGTGGGTTCGATCCCCACCATCGCCTCTGGATTTTTTCTGACACCTAAGGGGACCGGTGGCCGCAATTGAAAGAAATTGACGACACACAGCAATGGAAGGAGCGGGATCAGATCTCAGCGACCCTGAATTTGGTCCCAACCCCCTTCCAAAATGAGTTTCTTCGATGGAAGAACACTGGCACACTGGGGGCTCAAATTCACACTTGTGTTGCTTTTATACATATTTAAAAAAAAAGAAAAAAAAAGGGAGCTGTTGATGTAAGGAGATATGCAGTTCTATAACGTGGTCTCTTTTGCATAACTATACATAAACATTGTAATATAATAATCTTTAACTTGTTTAAAAATGACTCTTTTATTATTCTGTATATTAAAGTGAAAATTCAATTATCCTTTTAGTTCACAGACAATCTTCCGACAGATCCAAAAATAGTGATTATCGGAGGTGGAGTTGCCGGTTTGGCCGCTGCAACAAGACTTCTGGAAAGGGGCTTTTCAAAAGTTAAAGTTTTAGAAGCTGAAAACCGATTAGGCGGTCGTGTTAAAACAGTTGCATTTGGTTTGTTTACATTTTTGCATTGTTAATATCAACATTAATTAAAAATATAAATTTCAGGAGATAGATATGTGGATTTGGGTGCTCATTGGATTCATGGTGAAGAAGGGAATTCTGTCTTTAACATTGCATCCTCAATGGAACTTACCTGTAATTCTAGGGACTTTGAAAATGTCATGTTTGTCACCGAGGATGGCGAGGAGGTCTCGTCCTGCCCGGAACTGTATCTCAACATGGGTGAAATTTTAGAAGATGAAGACACTCTGAAAAATACCAAGGGCAACTTGTACGACTTTGTAGTTTCCAGGTATTCTTAAGGTATTCTATTTAATCAATGCGATTAGACCTTTTACCACTCAAAAAGAAGCAATTTTTTGGTATTTATTTGAAAGATATGTTGAAAAATGTTGTGGAAAGGTGATCGTCTCCTAGTCAAGGACAATCGTGTGAAAGGATTGAAACATGAAAATACAACATTTATCTATGTATGATCCTAGTCGTCAATAGTTGGTATCAGTTGTCAGATAGTTAGGGACCGCAGTTAGGGCATCCGACTCTTATTTGTTATCGATTGTGGGGTCACAGCCCATTGTTTGTTTAATGGATTATGAAAAATGTATTGCAAAGTGGTTTGAACCCTTGTCCCCGAGACCTAATGGATAGTGTTAAACCCTCCTGAATGACAGGAATTACAAATACTACTACTTACTTATTAGGATCGGTATGTCGTTCAATAGTAATGGAGCACACAGTGACTTGAAAACTTACTTTTTTTGTCATTCACTTTGATTCTCCATTTGTAATACCAGAGTTGGGCAAAATCTAACTAATTCAATCATGATTAAGAATTTTGATTGAAGTTTAATCATGATTGAATTAGTCATGAGTAAATTAATCATTATATGATTTAATCATAATTAATTCAATCATGAGGTATGGCTAAATCATATAATGATTGATTTACTCATGACTAATTCAATCATGATTAAACTTCAATCACAATTCTTAATCATGATTGAATTAGTTTGATTTTGCCCAACTCTGGCAACTTCTCTTTTTATTACCCGCCACTGTTTTTCAACTCTGATACAATGACCAACTTACCAAAATCCAACCGACTCCGGATAAAAATTTTGAGATGAGAGTTGTGCTCAAGGCCAACCTTCAAAAATTGTTATCATAAACGAAAACCAAAGTTACTTAATTATGTCTACTTATTGTTAGTTACTATTACTACATGTCTATTTTATTACAATCAAGACCCCTAGATGGTGTATTTTCCAAATAATGTAGAAATCTCTCCTTTTAAGTGGAATAAATTTTTTCAAAATATAAATAAATTTTAAAAATATTTTTTCCATTGATCAGTTATGTAAACATATTTACTTTTCAAAGTGTAGCTTGTTCTAGGATTTTTTTTATTTTATTTTATTATTATCATTATTTTTTGGCTTTTCATAACGACGGAGTTTTACTTATAATTGGAAGATTGATTTTTGTTAAATAAGGTGTTGAAGGATTTTCGTTTTGATGAAATAAATTTCTGTTAGAAAATTTTTTAAAAGTGATGAAGTGTATTTTTCATTTTTTGAGCACCCATTTGAACATGATTTATCGAAATTTAGTCATAACTAACTATATTGTGACTAAATTAGTCATGCCTTGTATTTAATCAATGACTAATTTAGCCATCAATCACATATGACGAGTAACGACTAAATTAGTCATTTTCTACCAATCATTTCTAACGGTCTGAGAGATCAATCATCAATCATTAGACATGACTAATTTTTTCCCAACACTGTGCAGTACCAGTCTTTTAATAGGGTGAGGCGGCTTTGAAGATAGGAGCTCATAACGGATAGGTTTGTGATAAGAGAGGATAGCTGTGTTGCCAACAAAGATAGAGATGACTGTGTTTTGGTAAGTAGGAATGTCGGAAGTGAATATTGTAAAAAGGATCGGATCAAGGATATTTCCATAGGGCACTCCAGTTTTTACTGGAATATATGGTAACAATTCCTGCCATAGAGGAAGGCTTAACACACAGCGGACAAGGGGTCAAACCACTTTACAATACTTTCTACATATTTTCCACAATTAAAAATCCATGGGCTATGTTGGGATTCAAACCCAAGACAGTGAGCGTTGCAATTCAATTCTGATACCCTAAACACTCGGCCACCACAGTTCTGCGTGTGCCCAGTCAGACTTAGTGTTATGTATTGCGAAAATTTTTATAAATGAAATTTAATTTTGTAATGATATAGTGATTAGTGATCAAATATTATTGTTTTATTAAATTCACTAGTTTCGTGGTCCGCTTGACCAATTAATATCTTACAATTAATTAAGGTGTTCAGTTGAGATAAAAAAGTCAATGGCACGAGTGGGATTCGAACCCACGATCTTCGGCTTGATACGCCGCTGCTCTACTACTTGAGCTATTGTGACCTCGATCCTCTCGGACACCAACCTCCCATCTCTCAGTAGAGCAGCGGCGTATCAAGCCGAAGATCGTGGGTTCGAATCCCGCTCGTGCCATTGACTTTTTTTATCTCAACTGAAAACCTTAATTAATTGTAATTATTATTTTAAAAGCTATAACTACATATTTGTTTTTGTAAATATTTTTGAATTGAAATCAATTATTGATATTGAATATTTTAAAATAGAAATAGAAAATAATGATTTTTTTTCTATTTCAGGTGTACAAAAATTTCAAAAGAGAAATTGTTAGATCATCGGGTTTTACAGGCTTTTGTAGAGTGGTTTATTAAATTTGAATGTACTATCGAAGGATGTGATGATTTGAAAGATGTTTCTGCACCTGGCTTGGCTGAATACAAAAGATGCCCAGGTGACTCTGTAATGACTTGGAAAGACGGTGGCTACAATTCAATTGTTGAAATACTTTTGGTAATTTCTTTGATGATCGATTCAATCAATAAATACGTAGTACTAATTAAAAAGTGTGTCTTAGAATATGCATCCTCTTTCCGAGGGCCCAGCTGTTGATTTGGAGGAGATTGTTTTTTTAAACTGTGAAGTTATTGAGATCGACTGGAGTGGTTTAGAAGCACTGATAAAATGTGCCAATGGGTCTATCCACCGAGCTGATCACGTTATTGTCACCGTTTCTGTCGGTGTATTAAAAGAAAGACATTCGACATTGTTTAAGCCACCCCTGCCAGATTCAAAGCTGGATGCTATCAGAGTACTTATTTTTGAGGAGAAATTGAAATGTTTCTATAATTATTTTTTAAAATTATGTCAAGGGTTTAGGTATCGGCACCGTGGATAAGATTTATCTTCATTTTCCTTATCAATGGTGGCCACAGAATTGCTCAGGGTTCAGTCTTCTTAGAAAAAATACAATTTTATCAAGAAGTGTAAGTGTTTTAAGTTTTGGATATCATTTTGTAACTGGTGAAAAGGCGTAAATTATTAAAGCCTAATTCTAACAACTAAGAAAATAAAATTTGGTATTGTAACTAACGGAAGTTAAATCATGTAGGAAGTTTATCCTTGGGAAAATGGTGTCATAGGTTTTTATGCCGAGAGTTCGGCACCCAAAGTGCTTGGGGCTTGGCTTATCGGTGATGCTGCTAGGGATGCTGAACTGTACACCGATGAACAAATTTTAGAAGGATGTTATAGACTGTTGAGAAATTATCTCGGCCATAAATTCGTTATTCCGGAACCGACTGATGTCTTAAGGTAAACATTATAGCGCTAAAGTATTTATAATGAATTCAAGTAGAAAGTTTTTTTATCATCCTCAATCGGATAATAAAAAAGTTAAACAAATAGTAAAAATGTTGATTAATCATGGAAAATATTTTTTTAAAGGAGTAAATGGTTCAGCAATCCTCATTTCCGGGGTTCATACAGTTTCCGAAGTTTAACTACAGAGGCCTTAAAAACTGGTGCTAAGTCTTTGGCTAAGCCTATTGCCAATTTTTATAACAGAGAAGTACTTTCATAATATATTTCAAATTTAACTATTATAAATATTTATTTTATTATTATTTTTGTTAAAACAATAAATTTTTTATAATAGCTTTTAATGTTCGCTGGTGAAGCTACACATCCCAATTATTATTCTACTGTCCACGGTGCTTTGGAATCAGGCTGGAGGGAAGCGGATAACATTGCCAAAAAATATGTGTTGTAAGACATTCTGTTTCTAATAAAATGCTTCATAATATTTCATTTTCTTTGATTTGTGTCTTGTATAATAAGATATTCAGTAAGGATAAAATTTTCCATCAACACGGATTTATTTAAGATTTTTAATTCAGGACAGTTATTTTGTCAGATTTGTTTAATTTGAAATTTGTCTTTTAGGTCTCGCAAATGTTCGCTGTAACAATTTATATGTGAGTATTGTGTAAGATGAGATTATATGGAATTTATTTTAATCACACACTGGCATGGTACATTGTCCTTGGCAATGTTGGGACTAAGTCGGTCTTCAAGGAAATTTGAGATCGCCTGTAAAAAAAAAACTTAAATATACCAATCTCTAGACATATTTAAGATTGTTTTGCCCTGATGATGACTTTAAAATAGGCTGAAAGCTTGGCAGTAACAACTGAATTTACTTTCTTCTTCAAGAACATACCTTGATCCAGTGTTCGAACATGTATAAAATTCTAATATATATATTTGCCATTTTGGAAGCAGCAACTAACCATTGGTAATGGTACGGTTACAAATATTTAAATATGAAATTTTTGACTCCGAGTATGAACAGGAAATAAAAATGCAAGCCTGTTTATTTTAATTCAGCGCTGTAGCATTTTTCTGTCTGTTTAATTATTACACAGTTTTTCTCTAAGATAAGTGGGATTATGTCATGGTACTAACAATGCTTTCACATTACTGAAAAGGAAAAAGATCACTTGCAGTTCTCACACTCATTGCCTAAACAAAATAATTGCCTAAGTTTTTCCTAGACATAACATTATTTCAATGGGCTTTCTCATACTGCGGACATAAAGCTATGTTAATACGATTAAAGTTTAAAAACAATTTCCTGGTAGTGTCACAGCATTAAATTAAAAAAAAAAAAAAAAATATGCAGAAAGGTTTAATATTCAAGTACTGACGTGTTGGTGGCCTAACAGTCAAGGTAAAGATCCTGAATATGAACAACATAATAACAAATGTAACAAAATTTTTTTTTTTTTCCCAAACACCGACACCCTGAGAGATGACATGACTGCTGTTGCGAACCCTTGTAAAAAAATTGCTTTTTTCAAATTATTCTCAATTAAAATTCCAAATGCTATGCTGGGATTTGACCCCAGAACTCCTACCTTGGCAAATTCAAGTCAGATGCCCTGACCACACAGCCAAGCAATCACTTTAATAAAAAAAAAAACAAAAAAAAAAATATGGTCAAGGATTAAATTTAATTAAAGTATATTATATTTCTCTTTTTAATAAGACTTTTTATGAGGGTGGATTGTAAAATGTAAAATATCTCCAAAAATTGACTTTTTTTAAAATTTTTTATTGCAAATGACCTGTACAATTATCTCCTGGTGGATGGCTCGGGAATTCTGAACTACTGTGAATGCATGTGCATATTTTAGAGGTGGTTCGAATGAAATTAACGTCTTACCTTGTATACAATTAACAAAATCTAATTTTAAAAAAAAAATTGACAAATAAAGAGTTAATTATTGCATTGACCTGGTTGTAATTGAACAAGGAGTGAGAAGAAAAAACCCTAGAAATTATTAAGAATTAAAACAAGACTCATAGTTCTTGTTTCATCATAAATTTTTTTTTTTTTTTTTTATTGGCCTTGGTTTTCACCATAGCGCAAAGTCCACACCTACACCCAGGAAGAAGAGAGCCCCAGCCCCCCCACCGGGGAAAAATGCGGCACCAGGGGACTCCACCTCAAATTCCAATTTGACTCAAGTACGTCCGATCTCCTGGTGAGATGTGCGTGTGTGCCTGGCCACCCACATTCCAAACCGATCGGGGACGGCTATCGATGTCCATGTACCAGAGCCACCCCAGCGCCACACACCCCCAGCAACCAGACAAGGAACCCCCACCCCCCCACCCCAGGCAGCAGGCCAGAGACAATTATCATCTCAAATAGTTATGTGGCACTCATGGACAAATTTAACGATATTTGTATAAATACAAAGATCTTTAGGAAACAGTAGACATCTATAATCAAATGGTTTGTCCAACGTTAAATTAAATTTTAAAATTGGACAAAACAATATTTCATCAGATTTTGTTTTATACATACAAAGACAAAACAACCAGACAGAACATATTTTATTGTTTATTTCAAATAATATGCATTTTATCGTTATACTAATTACAACACATTTATGTTAATTTAAGATTAACACAGATTGTTTAATTCAAATTAAACAAGATGGAAAATTATGAGTTTTAATAAAAAATATTTAAACATGGTGGTTTGAATGAAAATTCTCCAAAACAGGAAATCATTTAGTGACAGATTTAACTAACAATTTTTTTAAAACCTTGTTTTGCTCTGAGCATGCTGTTAACAATAAAACTAGGTAAAAAATTATTAGTTAAATTTTAATCTATCATTAAATGATTTATCAGTTTTGTGTTTTGTTGCTTTGTTGGTGATTTTTCTTTCAAACCGTCATAATTAAATAATTTTGATTAAAACATGAATTTCTGATCTCGTTTAGTTTGGTTTACATTACAATAAGTGTGTTGATATGGTAATAAAAAAACATATATGTAGTTTGAAATAAACAACAAAATATGAGTCTTTTTTGATTATATAAAATTGAAGAATATTTATTTATTGTTTATTGTTTTTAAGTTCTACAATATTTGAAATATTTATGTTTTTGTTTTATTTTAAATTCATTATATGTTTATTTTTTGTTTGGACGATGCAAGACAGTTCTTTTTGCACAGTGTTATGTATGTGGCTAATGTGTATATAAATTTGTATTAATTTTTGTGATATTGGTAATAAAGTTTATTATTAAATATTATACCTACCTATCTATATATTTAAATGTTTGTATACGGATTTTGAATTTGTTATTTTATTGTATAATCTATTTTTATTATTATAGGCGTGTGTGTGTGTGTGTGTGTGTGTGTGTTTAGTAGTTAATATACATTAGAATTGTCAGTAGTAATTAGTATAGTTAATAGTAGTTAATCCTCCCATTTAATTCGGAAATGATTAACTTTATCAAAAATGGACTTATGTAAACCCCAATTTAATTTTGGCTAGGAATCGTGTGGTGGTAACAGATTTAACATAACTTTCTCATCAAGCTGGAAAATGACACGAACTTGGGAAGAATCCCATATTTTTTATTGTACGATTGGATTTTAGATTTATGCCGCTTTTACTGAAAGGAAAATTCTGATAGGATCGGCCATTTCTGAGTTATGCCCGATGTATGCCAGCTAGATGGTGGACTATAGAAGTTGACACACCCTGTATAATATATAAGGAATAGATCAGATTTGACTGGCCCGTGGCTAGATGTGGCGACACAAAGCAAAAAAAAATTAATTAAAACAAGCTAATATAATAATAACGTTCGTAGTTTCCGATCAGTCTGGTCCGCCTGTCTTCCCTGGTTTAGTCTGTATATCTTGATCGATCTGCATGTTGCGATTCTACTACGACGAGTTAAACACTTCAAAACAAGTTTTCTTATTATTTTCTAAATGAACAACTTAATATGGCTGTATGTACGAGTTCGAACACACACAAAAAAAAAAAAAACACGAGACGCTTAGGTTCTTGTCGACCGTGCTCTTTTAGGTGCTTTCATTAACAATAAAGAAGATAATATTGACAAATAGTCCTTTTTTTGTTTTACTTGTCTATTATAATGCAAATAATAATACAATACAAAAAAAAAAAAAAAAAGAACTATTTGTATATTAAATATTCCACATCATCTAATACTTCAAAGATATTATAAATTTATAGTAATAAAATTAATTTATCTTTTTATGTAAGGTTTTGGTTGAAATGAAAAAGCTAGTGGCACGAGCAGGATTCGAACCCACGAACTCCCCATCTCAACATACCTTTCGAATTGGCCCTCCTTTTTACCATTTGCCAAATGTGTAATCAGGATTCGATTCTCGGCGAAACATATGAAGTGGCCACGAAGAGCTGTAAGTGAAGATATACTTCGTTTTACTTACTAAATCCATTATATTTCGTCGTCGAAAGGTAGGGCAAATTTGGCAAAATGGCAAAAAGGAGGGAAAATTCGAAAGGTTGTAGGATGAGATGTGGAGTTGGGGTCCGAATGGATCGAAGTGGTAGAGCAGCGGCGTATTCAACCGAAGGGCGTGGGTTCGAATCCCGCACGTGGCACTAGCTTTTTCATTTCAACCAAAACCTTACATAAAAAGATTAATTAATTGAAAGAAGTAATTTGGTCAGTAGCCCACTAAATATAATAGATTGATAAAATTATATAAAGATCGATCACTGAAGGTGGAAAAATAATAAAACGCACTTGACATACCGAATAAGCAAGGATAAGCGGATCCAAGAATATCGGAAATGACTTATCTGCAGGACAAAAAATCTCGCAATCAAATTTGAAGCCGTTTTAGACAAGGATAATATGAAAAGGCAAAGTTTTATCGTGTTTAATAAAATAATGAAAAAATTATATTTGTTTTCTTTTGCAGTTTTGCATCTTTCAGTTCGCTAAGTATGATTCTTACGAAAAATTTAAATGTTATTATTTTAAAGCATATTTTGAACCGTTATTTAATAGAAATGGGCGTAAAGGAGTAGAACATGATTAAAAAATGTATATTGGTCATATTGCTTCCTTAATTCCTAAGAAACTTCCCGAAAACGCGCAGTGACTTTCACCAGTGGTTGGAAAAGTATCTTGTAACCACTTGTTACACATTCGGTCATTGTGATCACGTCATCCAATTAACTTCGTGCTTAATTCTGTTTTGAACCAGTCTTGGATTTGCATGCGAGGAAAATTGTCCCAGTGACGAAGGGACATAGGCAAATTAAAAAAGAAAAAAAAGACATACCTTTCACTCAAATTGTAATTGTCCTAATTGAACATTGAAAATTAAATCGATTTGCAAAAACATAAAAAGTGGGTCAAATGTTAGTTTTAATGTTTCAAGCATGTCCGTAAGGCTATGGTTGTAGAAATAATAAACTGAAATAAAGAAAAAAGTGACTGTTATTGTTAGTATTTATGAAAGTGCGCCAAAGGATGTGAGCGCGTTGCAAAAACATCTCTGGTTTTTCGAAAGCAATGATGTAAAAGTTATAGTTGAAATGGGAAAATATTAAAACCGGTTAGAAACGTCCAAAGGAAATACAAAAAGTCGACGAAAAGTTTCATTAAAAAACAATTACGAAGCAAGTTTCGTTTGATTGTGATGACCAAAATATTTTTAAGAAGAGCTCCAGGTAGACAAACGACTTCAAAATAAAACTGAGTGTTTAGGATCGTATTTTCCAGATAATGTTTATTTCTCTTTGAATGCTTGAAACCAACCAGTAAAGTTTTTCATTTTTGACGTACCAGAGTGAATTGACTGTGCATCTCATGTTCTGTAACCGTTTGATTTGACTATTGGTCCCTACAGCTGGATGCCATAAGTCCACATGGGTATGAAGTAAAGTAAAAGCTTACTTTAAATGGGAAATGGAGAGTTCCAGCCCATAAATCAGCCCCATATTTGGAATTTGTTGGTGAGCTAAGCTTCTTATTCGTTTTTGACGTGTGAGTGCTTAATTTAATATAAAAATATTGATAAATGAACATTCACGTGTGGTAAATGTAACCAATTTTAATGTTTCAAGTAATTTTAGAAAAATCAATTACAAACCGTTCTTGTGGTTATTAAAAATTATTGACGTGAAATTATAAGGAATAAATCGATATAAAGATGGATCCAATATGGTAGCAGAGAACAATATGGTGGTGTGAGCAGAAAAACTAAATAAATAAAAAAACTAACTCTCTTTACGTAGAACGGAAAAATATCTACGCACAGATCCATAAGTTCAATCTGACAATTCTAACCCAGCGAAGTCAAGAAATATCCAAAGAAGTTACATACTGACGAGTAGTTTTTGGCCAAGATTAACGGGGACTGCTCACCTTAAGAGGACCAACGATAGAAAATTAAAGTGAATTTGCCAAAGACCAAAGATGGAGATGGTGTGGACTAAATCCAAAAATGACCTTATGGTCATATCTACGATTGGAAGAGCCATGATCTCTTATGCAAGGTTCATATATTAACCAAAAATATAATAAAGAAAGGTTGAGGAAAATCTACAAAAACTCAAAAGAATTGTAGTATCATCGGTGCTATTAAAACAACGCTCACAGCCGCAAATGAAAGTATACTCAAGATGTCACCTTTACTAATGTATGTGAAAAGGAAACCAACGATATAAGAACTGAGAATACATCGACAGTGGAAAGTGCCTAGCCATACCAAAATCTTTGACAAAATTAAAATAACGGACATGGCTAAAACTAATTTGTCATAAAAAAATATTATACTTTGAAAACCAAACCAACTTTTAGTCGTGTGTGTTGGTTCCAGGTTAGTCTTGAATCTAAATGGAACCGAAGGTAGCGGACGCAGTCTGTTTTTGGCATGGGATTATTATTGAGGAATATTTTATGAAGGGTTTTGCTTCAAAGGGTGAATGATACACGTGTGCTTTTGCTTTCCTTAAACCCCAGTATTTGCTCCATTCGGACATTTGCAGGACATGTTCCTGGAGCTCCTCTGAAGCAATTATGGGATCAGGATCACAATATTTAGTGTTTATTTTATTGATATATAGGAAAAGTCTTCTTGCAGAAGAAAAATTGCCAGTAAAACAAATTATACAAAATTTTGCTTAAAAAACTTTTTGATAGCCTGATTATTTTCAAATACATACAAAGCTATACTAATCAATTATATAAATTAATTTTGGTAATTGTAATGATCGTAGGAGTCCGGATCCGCGAATCCCGTGGAAACAGGATATATATATTATGCAGGGTGGGCGACCAAGACCCTAGGTCGGCCCGTACCCCATCCCTAAAAGGTCCGGGACTTGGTCGGCTCACGAGTTTTGCGTAAACCTCTTGGACCTGTTTACAAACCCCAAGATTTTGGACCATTTTATCTTGGGGAGTGATTTGTCAATGTCCTCTCCTTCAAAAGTTTCAAATCTATCCCTGGCATACCTATCACATTCTGCGAGGTAGTGTCGCGCCGTTTCTTCTTTTATTTCACAGAAGCGGCAAAATGGGTCTGGTAGGATACCCATTATGAAGAGGTGTCTTCTCAAGGGGCAATGGCCTGCATCGGTGGTTCAGTGATAGAATGCTCGCCTGCCTGCCGTTAGGATACCTATCAGCCTCCTAATTCCCCTCCTTGAGTTAGAGAATCAATTCAATCTTATCAAATCTCGCTTCTTTTGGTTTGATTTCCTTCAGAAACTCCTTGGATTGACTATGTCCGGGGGACAGATTCCATTCTTTCAGGAATTGTTTCATGCCCCAGCAATTAATATTCTCTTTCGCTGTGCTTATAGAGTGAAGTAATACCGGTTGTGGCCCGACAAACGCGGTATTTGAGCCTTCTTTGGCCAGGCTGTCCGCCTCTTCATTGCCATAGTGTCCCTTATGAGCTGGTATCCATATGAGGGTTACCCTACTCTCGTCCCTGGTAGTAATCCTGTTAATAAGTTCAACTGGAAACAGGATAAATAAACTGTAATAACTATAAAAAATGTAAATCTAAAACATCACAGGTCTATATTAAAAACGTCTGTAAAGAAGCTTTAGCTTTCTTAATATTAAAATAACTAGTCAATCCTTAATATACAAAGAAAGACGAAAACAATTAAGAAATTTTTTTGAATGTTACGTTGCTTTTACCGAAGAGTATTATTTTCTACTCATACATACAGGCTGGCGAAAGGAATCGGCAAAGTTCTTCTTTCTAAAACGCTCTC